ACTTTGACTTGGGGGGACCGGGGGTGTCAAAAATCCGATTCAACTTGTTTCGGGCGTTCGCGTGAAACCTGGAGGCGAAACACTGGTCCAAATGAGGCATTTATGTGACAATAACCCGACTTTGAGGGGCTGTAACTCTCAAAGCGCATCCAATAGGCAAACTTTTTATATTGTGACGTATAGGCCCATTGTTGGCCTAACTACCCTGCAAAGCACAGCTCTGTAGCACCTACCGTCTGCTTACGGTACCTCTTTTTCAAACTTGTACCCCACTTAATTGTCCCAAATCGGCGGCCATCTTTAGTCATTTTCATCAAGAAAATTTTCCGAAAATTTGTTTTTCTGTTTTGGTTAAATTTGAACTTGGGGGGACCCGGGGGTGTCAAAAATCCGATTCAAACTTGTTTCGGGCGTTCGCGTGAAACCTGGAGGCGAAACACTGGTCCAAATGAGGCATTTATGTGACAATAACCCGACTTTGAGGGGCTGTAACTCTCAAAGCGCATCCAATAGGCAAACTTTTTATATTGTGACGTATAGGCCCATTGTTGGCCTAACTACCCTGCAAAGCACAGCTCTGTAGCACCTACCGTCTGCTTACGGTACCTCTTTTTCAAACTTGTACCCCACTTAATTGTCCCAAATCGGCGGCCATCTTTAGTCATTTTCATCAAGAAAATTTTCCGAAAATTTGTTTTTCTGTTTTGGTTAAATTTGAACTTGGGGGGACCCGGGGGTGTCAAAAATCCGATTCAAACTTGTTTCGGGCGTTCGCGTGAAACCTGGAGGCGAAACACTGGTCCAAATGAGGCATTTATGTGACAATAACCCGACTTTGAGGGGCTGTAACTCTCAAAGCGCATCCAATAGGCAAACTTTTTATATTGTGACGTATAGGCCCATTGTTGGCCTAACTACCCTGCAAAGCACAGCTCTGTAGCACCTACCGTCTGCTTACGGTACCTCTTTTTCAAACTTGTACCCCACTTAATTGTCCCAAATCGGCGGCCATCTTTAGTCATTTTCATCAAGAAAATTTTCCGAAAATTTGTTTTTCTGTTTTGGTTAAATTTGAACTTGGGGGGACCCGGGGGTGTCAAAAATCCGATTCAAACTTGTTTCGGGCGTTCGCGTGAAACCTGGAGGCGAAACACTGGTCCAAATGAGGCATTTATGTGACAATAACCCGACTTTGAGGGGCTGTAACTCTCAAAGCGCATCCAATAGGCAAACTTTTTATATTGTGACGTATAGGCCACTAAAACATTTTATGCAAATGATTGTATACGAATGTAGTCCAGGCTATTTTTTAGAAATCTTCTTACGAATGAATGTAGTCCAGGCTATTTTTTAGAAATCTTCTTACGAATGAATGTAGTCCAGGCTATTTTTTAGAAATCTTCTTACGAATGTAGTCAGACTATTTTTAAAAATCTTCTTGGAATGTAGTCCAGACTATTTTTAGAAATCTTCTTACGAATGTAGTCAGACTATTTTTAAAAATCTTCTTGGAATGTAGTCCAGGCTATTTTTAGAAATCTTTTTACGAATGTAGTCTAGGCTATTTTTAGAAATCTTCTTTCTCTCTTTTGGGGTTTTTGCATGCCTATTTTGGGGTAATTTTTGGTCTAGATTTGGAATTTGATGTCTGAAATGGCATTATCTTTAAGATTTGGTGAGATGATGAGAGACCTAAAGGCGGAAGGCTAATTCTAAAAATAGTCGCTTTGTGAAGTGCCAAACTCTAGCGGATGAGTATAACCTGTAGTAGTCTACTTTCAATTTTAGTAGCTCAAAATTTTCATGGTCATCATATATTGAATTTTTTAGGAGACATTGAGAATTGGTCAGGCTTTCATTCGACATATTGGAAAGCTTTCAGCGAGTTTTCTGGAAAAAGTTGTAGAAGGTTGAATTTCGTGTTTTTACATGGGAAGAGATGGCAAATGAATTAGTGGAGTGAGTCCATATAGGCACATTGTTGGCCTAAATACCCTGCAAAGCACAGCTCTGTAGCACCTACTGTCTGCTTTCTTTTATTTTTTTTCAAAAATAGTCAAATCTAGGTCAGAACATGGATATTTCTTCATTGAGTTAATATTGCATTATCAGCTGACCCCATCAGCCGACTATATTCATTCAAATCACTACTGAGAAAAATTTTCTGTGCATTTTATTTTATTTTATAAAAAAAGCACATTCCAGGAAAATCTAAGGATGCCTACAAATATACAATTAACAAAACAAATGACATTTTCTACATAATGGGCCGGTAAACACATTTCAATATGAAGAGTAAAAGATTTTTAAATAATGCACTGTACAATTGAAAAAGGCTATACACTAAACATAATCATTATAACAAAGTCATAAAGCGACTATAATTAACAATGTTAAATAGGTAAATTATATATTCTATTTGAGTCAATCAGGCAAAAAGTAGATGCCAAAGCTACTTCCAAACTTTATTCAGTTTATTGGATTAAGGTTTAGTCAATCCTTGAAATAACAAAATACAAAAAGCACACATTTCTAAGAATTTAACAGTTCATTTCTGAATAGTCTGCGAAAACTATTTGCCAATTACTTTTTATAGTATACAGTTTAGTCAACATGAACAAATTTCTTCTTACATAGTAAGCTACATGGCATAAGCATAAACCACATTTGACAACATTTAAATAGTGTTGCCACTAATCCACTAAACTATGCACAAAGAGCCAAAAACTATGCATCTGAGCTGATGTTATACATAATATTGCAATACAAAGTATTTGTGCCTTCAGAATTCTTGACACCCTAAATTAAGTCATTTATTCCAATTTTACAAGGTTCACTGATAAATTTTTCAATACGTATTCAGCCTAATATGAAATTTAGTAATCTGTGAAATTTGAAGACACGTGATATTTGGACATAGATGTTAATAAGAGACTTATACTCAATCCACAACAAGGTGTAATCATTATGAGCTAAAAAATACTAAATAAAACTGGTAATGACATGTTGAATACAAGATAAAAACACAATAGGTATCACTTTCTATGATGATCCACCAATTCTTGCTTTCCTCACTGAAAAAATACATACAGAATCCACATTTTGAGCTCAAAAGTCTGACAAATTCAGTGTTATAGTTGGTTGTTTCTTGAAAATGTAAAAATTTGGACATATACATCTGGCTTGACTAAGTTAAGATTTGGTTAACCATTTCATTTTATTTGATTAGAAATATACTGAGGTAGCTTTTGTTTGTTTTTTTTTCATTTCTACTGAATTGAAATTAGTTCACCTATACCTACATTTATCAATGTTTTGTTGAATCTTTTCTGTGACTTTGGCACGAACTCCAGGAAATTCAAATAGAATACCAAATCGTATCATGGTGTCGTTTTCTAAAATCAACTTCTGTATATTCATTTCAACTTTGTTTCCCAACACCTCTGGTTTCTGAAAAGTAAGCAGAACTTTTTGTAAGTGGAACATATAAAGTTACACGAGATATTGTTCAATTACTGTACAAAGGTGAATATGATGTTTAACCTTGTGAATCTCAAGTCAAATTTATTTCACTGCGAAAAATATGCATCATGTGCTGATGAAAAATAAGGCAGTTATATAACACTTTTGAGGTAAAAAAAAAAAACAACCATTTCTCCTGAACTATCCTGCAAAAAAACTAAAAGCACAAATTCTGCATCAAAGATTCTCATCCCTGGATGTCCCAAGCCTGGTTATACATTAGCTATTAAATTGATGCACAAAAGAATAGACATAGGTGGAATTTCAGACAATAATAAATTTCAGTTGTTCTTTACCTGATTGGCTACATGTAAATGTAATACTGACTGATTAATATTAATAGCTTTTAATAAAGTTAATATAGCTTCTCCAGTTAAAAAATTAGATTCTACATTCAATGTCTTTAATGTTTTATTACTTTCCAAAGCTTTAGCCAGTGCCTGAAATTATAAAGTTACAAATAATACATGTTTGGGGATCTTCAGATATGGTTTTCCTTTCTAAAATTCCACGAGTATAATTTATGCAAGAATGTGATCTGAAGATTTAGGTCACAGCATGTGGCAATGTGACCTCAATCACTTCTGTAATAGAACTCCCATAAAAAGCAGATGTTTAACCAGTGGAATAGCTCAATAGGTAGTGAGTTGGATTTTCGCCTACTAGGCGATTAGGTGTCATGGGTTCGAATCCTCCTCAAGTTAAGAAATTTCTGTTGCCTGCGCAAGCTTTCACCTCCAATACTTAAAAACATAGTATTCTGTATTATCATGTCTGAAAAACTTCTTTGGGTGAGAAGGTACAAGGCAATATAGATTATTTTTGAGAGATATGTTGCATGTAAAAAAAAATAAAAAACAATCTTACCCTGGCAATTTTATCATTAGCAGCCACACCAGCCATTTCTAATTTCTTTAATTGAGTATTGTCTTTCAAAGCATCTGCTAATTGCTCTAATCTTTCAACAGACATGTTCTGTAAGAGAGAAAATGTTTGACTCTATGATTTTAGAGGTACTTAAAGCTTATTTGGTCACTTATATTTCAAATAATTGAAACAAACCTATAGGTGTAATAATAAATAGTCTACATATTTGATTCACAAGCTGACAGAGCTCAATTTCAGCTTTTTATCACATTTTATAAGTGTCAGAACTATTCACTCTACCTTGATCTTTATTTAATCATGACAAAATGCCAGATCATAATTCTGAAAAGTGGTACGGATTTAAAAACAATTGACTGGTAAAAGAAATACAAGGATGATTATATCCCTTTTAAGGAACAGGTTCGCCATTTTGGGGGGTTGATTTGAGTCATTGAATATATATAATAGTCTTCAGAAGTACCAGAAATGTACGAAAATTGCATAATTCCTCTAAAACTTCTTCAAACTAGGAATTTTACTGACTATTTTTATATGTCTTTTTGATACATCACAGGGTATCTTAAATTGACGAGTCATCATTTTAACATTCAACCTCTGATAATTCTAGACACATGGATTTGAAGACTCAAATTTTCACGGTGAGCTGTAAACACTATTACTGATTGTCTAGTCTAAAAAGTTCTCGTTTCTGAGACTAATTGATAGGTAAAAAAATGGAGCACCTATCCCTTTAACTATATTTAGGACAACATCTAATATAATAATAAATGCCTCAATGTTAAAAGTCTGTACCTATAGAAGCTGCCGCAAAATGTACCCACCTTAATATTATTGAGATTCAAACTCTTTAATTCAGGATCATTATTCTTTAATTTTTCTATACTGCCCTCAACATCTGTAGTATTTGGAGGCTCGCTGGGCAGTGGATTAAATTTCTGGGCATGGGCAGCACCTTAGCAAAAAAAGAACAATTGTTGTATTGTATATATACCAAAATGATTGTCATCTCTACAACATTCACTTGGCTTTATCAAGACAAGAAGTCTTTGCACATGTCTATGACAAATACTTAAACTACCCTTCTTAAATCAAGGAGCACATAGCTCAGTATTTCTAACATTCAGTCAACATAACATTAAAATTTATGAAAATCCATATTTGTCATAATTAAGCCAATTAACAGTTAAAATTTTTGTAAGCTTCTAAAATCCCAAAATAATGTCCTTACAATTATAAAGAAAAATTAATAAAAAAAAAATATTTACCTGTGAAACCACCCTCATGAATTTTTCTGTCTTCTAATGATGCATAATATTGTGTTTGTGTTAACATACTATGAAATCCAAGTACGGCTAAAAATATATAAATTAATATCAAATATACAAGATTATCATTGTAGATATATTATAATATCAAAGAAGAGGTTCAGCTGTGTGGGCTAGCTTCAAAATAAACAGAGCTACAAAATGATCTTTTCTTGCCCTGAACTCAAATCTACAGGGTGTTTGTCAACACTGTGGAGTCATTTTAAGTCAATTGCTTACTTGCTTTACGGCTGATAGAGCTAGAATTCTAGAAAATGTGGTATGAAAGTTTTGGCTGATGTTTTATTGGTCAAAGCTAACAAAACTGACATCTAATATTGTTTTATGCTAACAAAAATACTATGTACCAGCAAGATCAACTAATTCCTCTTCGGAAGCTTGTTGTAAAATATCATCCCATTCTGTATCAGTGGTACCATCATCATTTACTTGTTCTTCTTTTTTATTTTCTATCTTTTTTGGCACAAATACTTTCCCTAAGACAATTTAAGATACATTAGTACATTAAAGATGGGTCTCCTTATTTTTAGAGTCAAATTAAGCAAACTATTTGATTAATTGGTGTTTCTAATGTATTTTAATACAGATGTATTAGTATTCCAAATTCAAGTGAGCTTGTTGACTGTGTCACAGAGCATCATCAAGGAATTTTGAGATAGGAACAGAGATCTGAATTTAAATAGCTATCACTTCTTATAGTCAGCAGGGCAAAACATCTATAAATCTGGGGAGTTAATGGCAGCTTGACACAGAGATGTTGACAGTTGACTGTAATTGGCACTCCTAATTCTGTATTGAACTCTTCAGTGTGCATGTTAATATAATAGACATAATTATACAATACAATACAATAAATTATTTTCACTGTTAAAACAGTGCTCAACTGTAGAGCGATATAGAAATAAAACAGAACCAAAAAAAACATCTTGTTGTTACTCAGAGTTTCACGCTATGCGATCTTCAACTGACCTAATTTTCAGCCTGCGTCTTACTGAAATTCGACGAATTTATTACCATGTCTACACTTCTAGATGAGTTTGTGAAGCTCTGAGTACCAACATCATGTTTTTTTAGGTTCTGTTTTAATATTTCTAGACATAAGCATATAAATACCAAATCTACCCTTGCAGATCAAAAACCACTCAATCACTCACCTTTTGTTTCTTTAACATAGGGTTTATTTTGTTCCCAGTCCTTTTCTTCTTTGGCTTTCTTCTCTAAAAAGTCGAGCAACTTTTGACGTTTATAGGGTCCTGTAGGGCTTTTATCTGTTTGATCCTTTTGTCTTTGACTAGGTGGTAACAAGGAATTCTGCAATCAAATTTGCAAGCAACTGATTAACTAAACATCACAAAAAATTCCACGATGGATCTTTTTTCACTCATATATCTCTGTGAATTAATAGCTTTTATAATTTGATTTGTTACAGAAAATATGAATAAAATTACATGTAATACATATTGCACTTACATCAGGATCGAAATCTCCATTAAGTTCTTCTAATTCCTCTTGTGTTAACTGAGCTAGAATATCTTCAAGATCATCAAAGTCTATGTCTGGTACATCTTCACTTTTAGATTTAACAAAAGTTGACATTGTGATACTTTTCTAGTTCTCTTCACACTGAAAAAAAATATACTAATGATATATCTGAAGTAATATATTGACATTGACGTTGTTTTCATCTGTTTTATGACCAATTTTTGCTTTTTTCAGCTTGGTATGTCTTCTTCCAGTTTCTTTAAAATAAGAGCAAGTTTTAAATAGGCTTATACACTGGCATGTAATCTGCAATTCCAGATATTTTTTACCAAAAAATGCTGTAAGTATTGTAAAAAACATTCATAGGTGATTTCTTCTTTAATTTCAGGAACCACTTAAAATTGATGCAAATAAAAGCTAACAAAAAACCTAGTGTCCAAAAATTAAGTTAGAAAGCCTCTTTTAAAATCCGTTGAAACTTTTTAAGAATAAATAAATTCAGTCATTACTTATGTCTCTACTGATACCGTTTAACAGTCAACAGAATTAAAATTAACCATACAACTTAATTTGTATTCTTTCTAAAATCCCCAAAACAAGATTATACAGTATAATGACACATTGATTGACTCCTACATGTTTTGTTTTTATTATTTTCTCTAATACACAATGGTGTGTATAGTTCTATTGTTTCATTTGTGAGGGGTCAAACACAAATAGTGACTACAAAAATTTCATATATATATAAATAAACATGGATTCCTCTATTTGCATTCATTAAACATTTGCCATTTCTACTAGAAGCTACAGACAAGCAAGAAGCCAGACAAGGCAAAAATACAAGAATTCTTACAATAACCTGCAGTAAGAAAACCTGCAGTAAGAAAACAGGAATGTTGTATAGAAGTATAATGACCTGTATTAATATGTAATACATGCTGTATACTATATGATCATTGTATACTGTGGTATGTCATTATCAATGATATAATATTGTGTATTATGTTTAATCATCATAATATTACACTGGTTACTTATAATATCCTTCATAGATCATCTAATCCAGGATTTATTTTTCTATTTCTTTTACTAAGGACATGTATTTAAGCTTTAAGCAAAAAGTTTAGTTTTATTGCTATGCTACTTATTGTCATCTTTCAGATATTGCTTAGAGTTTGCCACAACATGTATAGCCTTTTAGATTGTCTGTAGCAAATCAAAGTCTGATAAGGTAAGATAACAATTGAAACTAGTTTAGTTTACTTTGGAATCTACAGTTTGACCAAGAACATCATTCTTATGGAGGAGTATGTCAGTAACCGGTTGAAAAACTGGTTTCAAAATGCCTTCTGGCAAACTAGATACATTATGACCTTACATATGTCCATTACATTCAACATTATTTCTTAAAGTGAGGTCAAATTTTAAAAAAAACACATGACAGACTACTATGGTATACTGAAGTATACTTGTGGAATATACTTCAAGGTTCATTAATTTCACAGATTCAAAGCATCATCAACAGACTTAACAGAAAACTGTTTTTCAAAAACATCCCTCAGGAGATGTCCCATTGAACAATTACATTCTTTTCTATTCACTGCTATATACAACAAGTGTTTTTATGTAATTGATGCTGATTTGTTACAATATCATGTTATTGTACAATTTATAGATATGGAATCAATAACTTTGTCATTGACATCTTGGATTACTTATAAAAAAAATAATTACTGGTATTGTAAGCACATTATAGAAAAATAGGATGAATTGTATAAATAATGGTACATAAGCTTACCTTCCTAAGAGAATCCAAAATGAGTAGCAAATTCTGTCAAACTGACAAATGTTCATTTATTAGTAAATAAGTTCACATGTTTCTTAGACATTCCACCCAGATCTAGCCAGGCTAGCATGTCAACATTCTCAATCTTATAGGTCAATATATCTGGCTTACATACAATCTTCTTGTTGTCCAGGAAAACCCTTGGTCTATTTACAAATAGTTACAAAACATCTTCTAATCTGCACACAAAAAACTTAGCTTTACTCTGAGAGAAACACTCAAATAGCTACAAAACAAACCTATTTTACACAAAGCTATTGCTTTGTATCCAACTTACTACTGCTCTATACTCAAAGGGATATCATATTGATATTTGAGTTGATTTTTCTGGAAAATTCATGGACATTACAATTTGATTAAAATGCACATCTTGATGTTTCTTGGGTTTTTTCTCTCTTCTTTCTGTGTAGGTTACTACACAAGCCAAGATTGAATTTGTCAGGAATCTTTTTAAACAGAGACAACCCAAGGCAAATGGTATAAAGAATTTGGTACCCTAAAAATATTTCATATCATCTGATTACTCAATTAACATTAAACAAATTTAACATATTATATAATGCAAATGACTCAATAATTATGATTTTTTTCATAGTTTCGGTATGAAATCACTGAAAATAACCAAAAAAATTGACCAATATATTAAACCTAGAATATTGTTTAAGACTAAACCCGTGTTTTTCTCATTCTGAATACTAAATATTTGGCAGTTGATCAGTATTGGATAAACATAGATAATCCTGTATAACCCACCTCATTTATAATATATCTTATAGTGAGATACAAGACATAGCCAGCCAGATGCTGCCAAATATAACTCCTTACCATAACATTACCCAACAACAAGGTCATGGCTGTCTCAATAGAAAACAACTAGACACAGAGATTAACCTTGGTGCATGTAATAATATTTCCTCTTTAAATTCAACTACTGCAAAATTCAATTTTCAGATTATATTCAAAAAGCTTTCAGACCAACAAAAAAATATGTACATACTGCCTTCTGTACGTATACCCAGATCTATAAAATGTACCAAATGGCCTATAATTATCTTGCAGGTATCTTCAATGGTTTCAATTTATTCAACCTCACATTTAGGGAGATTCCAATATTGCCTATTGCTATTCTCTTTTTTCAATGACTTTAAATTCTCAGTTTTAAAAAAATACATATTAAACTAGATTTCAAAAACCATACCATGATATATCTAGTACACTATATTGGTTCACTGTCAAACACTTGTATACACAGCTTTTGAACTAGTTATATTATGTCATATATCAATAAGAAAGTTTAAAATCTAATATCCAAAATATCAAGTTAGTGTATCTTTTTATAACTAGATCAAAATAACATATTATGATTCATAGAGAAATACACTCTATATTATTCATTTCATTGACTTTCAAGACTTTCTGTTTTCATATTCAAAAGGCCTTTTGTTAGTTTACAATATAACCATAGCTTAACTAAGTACCTTGTGAGTCTCTTGAAAGTAGATATTGTTCATAATATATCATATATATATATATATATATATATATATATATGTAGGTAAAATTACTTTATTAAAATGATCATACTGTTAACAGACTCTGCTTAGTAATTAGTTGTAGACAAAATTAATATTGGTTTTCATATTTTTGAACAATATGAATATCACTTATATATTGACATTGTAGTTATATCATCAAGAGCAATTGCCGTAAAATTGTCAGGATCAAACATTGGATCTCCAGGTTTTAGGCTGAAGGCAGGTATCCAAATCAACCGAACACTTCAAACAAGCTACTAAATGGATGATATATATTGCTTTGAACGATTCCATAATATAGATGTAACCATATAGTTTGAAATCTAATACATCTAATCTCCTTTCTCTGATATCTAATAATTTATAATGTTAGTAATGCCTATTTTCATCACATTATATTTCAGTATGGCTGATCAGTGCTCTTGGTTGGAATTTATACCAACCTCTGAAGGTCTTAGAAGACTTAAAACTATCTAAACTTTAATCACTCTTCAAAATCTTCTTCACAAACTCATAGTCCTTATAATACCACAGTGACAGTCAAGTTTATTGAGGACAAGCCAATAACTTACACAAGACAAAAAGGTTTTCTGTTAGGTGAAATGTAAACAAACCAGTTAGACATCAAATGAATTCTAATTGTGGTCCAGGTTTGTCAGTGAGTGAAGACTAATCACTCTAGGAAGTGAATGATTAGTATATACTGAATAAAGTATCGCCCTTTATACTAACATTCAAACCTTACTAGTATAGTAATATAGTTCTATATATAGAAATTATTATCAATTGACAATTGTTTTTTGTAAATAACTGTTCTTACGGACCTTAAATGGAAAGATGATATAGGCCATTGAAGTAAACCTAAGAATCCAAACCAAACAAAAAAAAGAGTTAATTTTGGGATTATTCTTTAAGAATAGTTTAATATATTTCTTTCTCTAAAATACTATATTATTTTTCAGCCAGACCTTTCTAATGCAATACAAATGACAAATTAAGCTATTTATCCTCCAATCTAGATGGCTAAGAGGAGGACCCTCGAGACAGAAAGAATGAAAAATTGTGTTTGGTGCATTGTCTGCCATTCTAGATGTGAACTTTTTCACGCACGGGGCAGTAGTGCTTGGATTGCCCCACATCAATTAAATCCTAGCTACGCCTCTGCAAATTCCCTTTCAGCGTTACTTGAAAGCCTGGATGCATGTCAAGAATTATCTGGAGCAACCTTTATACTATTTTCAATTCCAAATAGCTCCAGCCCTGGACTTTGGTGTGGACAGGTTCTTCAAGCATGAACTTTTTTATCAATTTCAACCTTGTCTATTGTCTACATATTTGACTAGTTCCAGAAATTGCTAGTAAATCCAATTTAAACACTTTGATAAATCTAGCAACTCTTGATCAGAAAAACAACTTACTTATAATTACATATACTCTTTCAAACAAATGACAGTCTTATGAATAGATAATTTCTTAATTTTACCCATAAGGTCGTACTTAATAAGAGTACTTCAGTACTAGGTTTAAGTAAGCCATTACTTAAGCCAATAGTATCTCATACTTCTCTTAGCAATGTCAATAATTTGTAATAAAAACTCAATACTAGGCCTATTTACCCACTCAAAGTTAGCATTATTAATATCGTGCAACTCATAAATAGATATGTGTCATAACAAAAATAAAACACAAATTTACTATCAAATATTATTTCCTTTGCTAATATGCCCTAAAAAATAAAACTCGATGGATATCATCAGAGTCAAATGATGATGGATTAAGCTAAATAGTAATTATGTACAGTTGCATATTCATACCTTCCTAGACGCCTGTAAAAAGTATATTTTAACTCTTCTCTTCCTTACAAGTATCCGACATTTACCTTTCAAAACAACTCCGGTTAACCAGACTATCTTACCATTTAATTTTCTTACAAAAAATTATGAGGCGTGGTCTTTTCCATATTATTTTCGGTCTGGATGTTCAAGAAGTATCGTAGCCGGTGCTTCTCACTTTTACGAGAATACCTGAGACTTGTACTGATTTGAAAAATTTAATATTATTGACAATTCGTACACTACAAAACTGTGAAATGTAAAATTTACAGTATACAATTGTGATAAACACAAAATTAACGAAAAACATAATATTCGAACTCGACTCGTCAAAGGTTCGTAATTGTTCGGTAGTTTCCGCGTTGCTGTGGTGATTGAGGAAGCCAAGATGGCGGGTTAGTTGCGTGAAAACAAGATTGGAAGATGAATAATTAATGGTAAACAGTTCTCAACTAACTTTCAGACGCGACTCACTAATTGGTCAAATTAATGAATAGGTAAGAATAATTAAACGGTGTGAATTAATTGGATTCAATCACGAAATAGCTTGAATAATGGATAATTTAAAGCGAAGTTTGTTGCTTTCTTGTTTGTTTTGTTTTGATATTATTAAGTTTGTTTGTTTTTCGGGTCATCATTTCTGATTATCTATGTTCTTCATTTTACAACAATTACTTTTTTGATAATTAGGCCTTTAAGAACAATTATTTTGGCATTGCATCCTGCACTTCTTAAGTTATCTAGATCATTTTTTTCAATTTTTAAACACAACAAAGTCCAAAGAAAAAGACAAAACTTATCAGAGATAGTTTTAGTTTAAGGACAACAGCTAAGTCTAGAAATTTCATAGTGCCATCAAAAAACACAGAGAATGGGAAAAAAATGAGCTTTCTATTCTGGTTGTTCAAAAATCGATGCAATGGATGGTTTTCACAAATAATTTGTTATTTTTCATTGGATCTGAGGAAATAAGAATAAGCTATTCAAATGTATGTATTGCATTTATCAATATTTGGAAGACATAGTAACTAAAACAGATGATAGAATAATTTTTGCAAACTGCTGCTAAAATACAATAAAATATGAATAAATTTAGAAACTATATCGATTTACATTTCCCATTTGCTTGAAGAGAAATTTTTTGATTTGATTATGAATTAGGGTTGCAAGAAATAAAAAAAAATGTTTTTGTGAGATTGAGTCAGAGTACAACTTTCTGTTGCAAAAATTCTGTTATCAACACTGTCAGTTTGTTTAAAACATAGTACAAACACTTAACAAATAAAGCATATACCGGTATTTTGATTAAATCTTGATCTGTCTCTATTTATTCTTTATACCATTCAACATTAATCTTGATTTTTATCATTTACAGATAGTGAGTCGACACAATGGAAACAGATAATCCAATAAGCCCCCAAGAGGGTTTACATAACCAATTTAATATGGATCATAACATGAACAGTATTGATGGTTCCCCTGAGGATCCAGACAGGAAGGAAATGCCAATTATTGATGCTGCTAGATTAAAAGCCAGACTCTACTCTTATGCTCCTCAACAAGCCCCTGTTAACACCAGAGCTTTAGTTTTTAGAGGTGTAACTCGAAGCCAAGCAAAAAGAATGAGCATTCCAATTGCTCCTAAAATAGAGCCATTGGTGAGTAAAATTTATTTTTATGGCTTAAAGTACAAATCGTGGGTGACCGCTTAAAACCTTTTTGGTACCGTTTGAAAGCTCGTAAAAGCGCGGATCTTGTCATCATATCCTCGTATTCTTAGCTTGATTGTAAATAACTCAAAAAGCGCTAATTAAAAACAATATATAAACAGTCAGATTTAAAACCTCGTAAAATATATTATTATACAAGGTTCAATGTTCCTTTTCTGCGGATGAAAATGAAAAACCTCGTATACTGTATTATTATACGAGTTTTTGGTTCAATAGGCCGGAGATCTCGAATTGTTAATACGAGATTTATATTTTCCAAGAATGAAAACCACGTATAGCGGTAAAAAAAATAATTAAAAAGATTTTAACAAAATACGCATACAAATAGTTTTTTGCGTTTTTCTCGAAAAGTAATTCTGCATCAGATAACATTATACGAGGTTTCAAGCGGTCATCCACGAAATAGTGATTGACTGAAATTATTTAATGAACAGGGTTTGCTTTATTAACCCAAAAATTCCATATTCAATTTAGTTTTTATGTCCAATGATATTGAAAAGGGTAGTATTCAGGTTTGGACAATACAAGGACCTGTCCACTATAGGATGAGCAGTGTTCATGTTAGTCAGAAATGAAGACAAAAATAATATGAAAGGCCTTATGCTCTAATATTATTTGTTACAAATGTCTAGATACAAGTATATTTAAGCAAGCATATTGTTTTATGAATGAAATAAATGTCAACTATTTATGAAAATTCTGAAACGTGCCTATTTTTTCTGTAGTCAAATATGCAGGAAACATTTTGTTGCACAGATAACCTTATGAAGATTCATTATGAAAAATCATTAACTTTTTACAGCCCAGTTTACAGAGATTTCAAGAAAGAAACCAGCCCAGTTTCATTCAGAAGAAGAATAGAGAAGCATTAGAAGCTAAAGGAGTTGTAATTAAAGATGAGGTGTCTTCTGCTAAGAAAATGAGAAGGTCTGGATCAGTTGAACCATTAGAAAGACCTGATGGTACATCATCACCTCTCCCTAATCTACCTAGTGACCTGAAATTTAAACAAGTAAGTCTCTCTTAGTTGCACCCAGTCATATAAATATCATCTTGACTTGTGCAAGATCTCAGTTTGGGCTTCCCTTAACACTTATCAGATTAAAATTGCTTTTCTGCAGAACTCAAGTCTTATTGATTCGCGAACGTTCAAAGTTAAAATGATAACATTATTTACATGGTGGGAGCACAACTTTAATTTTCAAGAGGTTTCTAAAATACATTTGTTTGTCTGTTCAGGATCCAGTTATACCAAGAATACCTACCCCACCTAAAGAAGACATATCACCCAGAGCTAAAGTATTTACTACTGCTCCTTCTGTTCCTGCTTCAACCAGACCTAAATGTAAGTCTTTCTTTGTTTTTTTTTGTAAGCTTATATAGTTTCAAGCAATCAAGTTGAATTTCTTTAAGTAAGCCTTCAAAATTACTGGTCTGAAATTGACTTCTGAATACTTTCATTCATTTCTTGGTCTTTTTTCAAATCATTGCCAAGCTCATTTGATTTTACTTATTTTGTTTTGAAATTCAAAATGTCAAACTGCATCCTATTATCTTGATGTGCATTATTTAGGTTAAGCTATGACTATATATGAGTATATAATTCATGACTTGATGTTTACAGCCTCTGTTAAACTTACATGTTTTTATTTCTAGTTGGTGATACCTATGAAGGCTTAAAAGATCCACACAAGATCATAAAAATAATAAAAGAGAATCCTAAAGTAGGATTTTTATATTTAAGTCCAGCTGTACCCAAGTCATCAGTCAACTCTCATTATTACAATCTAAAGTAAGTCATTGATCCTCATTATTGCTTTCTAATAAGTAATTTATCCCCATTTTTACAATCTGAAGTACGGTAAGTCATTTATCCTCATTATTACAATCAAAAGTAAAGTTATTTATAATGTAATAAGTTATTTATCCTCATTATTGCAATCCAAAGTCATTTATCGTCACCTTCATTATTACTGTACCATTTATACTAAGTTATTTATCTTCACCTTCATTATCACAATATAAAGTTATTTATTCATCTTTATTACCGTACTACAAACTTAATAAAATCATTTATTTGTATCTTGCATCAGTTGTACAGTCTAATGTATGTTATTTATCAGCACTGTTACAATAGAAAAGAAGTCAATATCTTCATTATTACAATCGAAAGGAAGTCATTTATCCTCATTATAACAAAGCAAATCTAGTGTTCTCTAAAAAATTCAAGCTTATTCGAGTTATGTGTAATGATTTATTTATGATTATAGAGTTGTGAATCATGAACATGTTAACAAACAAGATCACTGTACTATCAGTAAACAGGGTGTGACCAGAATGAGGTCTGATGATGAAACAGAATTTATCACACTAGATAGATGGCAACAAGAAGTGAATTACTTCCAAAAATTAACCAAGGTAGGGAACTAAGTGTATTTCTAGTTAATGGAGATTCATTGCTCCATCACTGGAATGGTCTAGTACTGGTTAGTATTTGTTGCTTGTGTGGTATTGGTCCTAAGAAATTTTTTTTTTTCGATGCAGTCTCAATTGATTTTAGGACTGTGTTGGTTCTTCTCCTATGGATGCTTGGTGAAGCATAGAGTAATGTGTTTACTTTTATCATCTCTGAAAATTCCCTATGGTGAAGAGGATTTTGTTTGAATGTCTATAAGTGCAATTTTACTTTATTGATTTCTTATCGATGATTACTTTTCCAGATTCCAGTATTTTCGTTGTTTAGAAAATGGAAGGCATTTAGTGTATGGCGTAAAAATGTCCGCACAAAGAAAATACAAAATTGTAAAAAATCTCTCAACAGTAATCTATTTATTGTTAATGCTGTAAGTATTTTGTTTATTTCTTGAAAAATTCCTGAAGAAAGTATGGTTTAGAGAAAATCATGCAAAATATGCAGAGATATAAATCAATGAATTATAGACTGTAGTTATATTTGTGCAGTTTATGCTCTCTGTTTTTTTGTATAAGTATAATGCCAGCAAGATTGGATATAATTTGACAGGCAACAAAAACACTCTGAATTTACAGAGGATCTTCTCTGCAATACATATACAGTTTGATATACTGTTTGATATTGATAGAAAGTATACCTGTCTATAAGAGCTCAGTTGAAAGTTCATGAGTCAGTAATATGACAATTTTCAGATATTTATTGATGAAGAATACAATTTTTCAAATATTTTTTCAGTCATTACGACCAGCCTTATTAAATGTGAGAGAAATGTGTCATCGTATTAGTGAGATGGGATTATGTCAGATAGATAAAGATCATACTTATGCTCTCAATGAGTTTAAAGAAGCACAGTTTAACCAACTCAATGATGTAAGTAAATTTAGAAAGTTATAAATTCTTTAGTTTTTGTTTGATACGGTTAAAATATACACATCAGTGAACTTAGGAATATGATAACAGGACCTAAGAGTTACTAAGAGTTTCACATGGTACGATTTTCAGACAACTGACTTATTTCAGCTTGAGTCCCTATTGAAGTTTGACAAGTAGTACTTGAGTATCACTAAAGTCTGTAGTCTCCAATATACATGAACCAAGGTAAAGTACATTGAATGATGTTATATTGTAGGTTGCTGGTAGACTACAAGATTTCCGTGAGTTAGTAAAGGAAGTAGTACGTAGTGCCTGTAGGACAGCATTATTAGAAGCTGGTTTTACACCTGATGATTATTATTATGATGGTGTAGAGAGCCCTGGATTTTATGGTTAGTTAGGCTTATTCTTCTTGCCTAGTTTGTTACACAAATTGGGCCTTTAAATATTTTGGCATGGTTTCTCTTTTTTATGGTAATTCACATAAAAAGTCTATTTGCTATGCTTTGAATGAAAACAAGAACCGAATGACCCACATGTTATATTTTGTAGGTGATATGCCAGGTACAGCCTCAAGTTATTTAATGCAGAGTAATTATGATATGGATATATATGGTGAAGCCCCAGATAAAATGAATTATACTGATCAAGCTAATAAACGTGCTGAATGTAAACGACTTATGTGGTAAGTGGTTTTTAGTCTTTTATTGCTGTATTTTAAATCGCTCTTCCTGATATTTCAATAATCCATTTTCAGACATATCTTTATGTTGCCATCTTTAAGATTTAGAATTAACAACATGCTTCATATATATATATATATATATATATATATGAATGAGATATACATAATACACATAGATAATTATTAATGGTTTATGATACTACTCTTGTCTTACTACTTGACAATACAAAAATATTAATAAACTAATTGTTATCAATTTATGTGTCTACAGTTGTTCATTTTCTCAAAAGTTAAAAGCTATGAAAAATTTACCTGAAACTTTCTTGTATATTTCAGTTTTATAAGATTAGCTGATTATTTGATAGTTAATACAATGCATGTATTAGCTGTTAATTCAGTCTCTACATTACTCAATTATCTAACAGAACAATTAGCCAATACACCAACATTAGCTCAGATACAGGGTAATGAACCTGAAGTTGAAAAAGTCAAAGAGGAAGAAGACAAGGTTTGTGCCGTTTTGTTTTTCTTCTAACAACATTATTAGTTTTTATAAACCAACATATTTGGCACATATATTAGCACAATAGTTTCTGTCTGCCTCTTTGTTTGTTATCATCGAGTTGTGCCAAGGGAAAAGGGAAAAAGCCTACCCCTTTTGCGTTTGTCATGGTTAAAATGAGTGACCAAAAATTGGATTTGATCAACTCCTATAAAACATGACCTTCTGAGTGACCTTTTGAGTCTGTTCCTAACAGTGATGATATCCCATCCGTATGTCACAACTGATGAACAAGTAGGACCAAAAATTGGATTAGATCAACTCCTATAAAACATGACCTTTTGAGTGATCTTTTGAGTCTGTTCCTAACAGTGATGATATCCCATCCGTATGTCACAACTGATGAACAAGTAGGACCAGATTTCTTGGGATAATAAAACCTATGTTTGTTATGGAGAATTCCAAAGTTATACTCATATTCCGTTCCATCTCTAATGATATTTTTGTATTAATTTCAGGAAGAGGAAGATGAAGTTCCAAAATTACCACCCCTGTTTATTACAGAGTTTGTCTTGGAACCAACACAATTGTTATTCGCTCCTGATTTAGATGACTTCCAGGAAGGTCTTCAAGAAGTGATTAAAAGGTTCCAGGATGCTGTTCTTAGTGTACAGAATTTAGTTCCTGATGCTTACTTTGATGCTTTCACTAGGTGAGTTCAGAATATGATGATGGAATTAATTTGTTAGATTCATATTGATTCATACAATTTCATATAATGATTTCCATATTAAGATGAACAATTAGCGTGAATGAAAGTTCAGTTTGCATGAATGCCAGATAATGAAATGTACTTAAAAACAAATGTGTTAAAATGTACTTTGCCTGTTTTTGTATAAGTGTCCAACTCTTTAGGTTATGGCTCTGAAGATAAGAGTTGATTTATTACTATATTTTCTGCTATCTCTTTCATCTGTTTTCATTAGCTCAATCAGATGTAGAAAAATAGAGTTAAATTTCATATCAATATTATGAAATAAAAAAATGATTTTTTTTGCAGACCTATAATTAATAACAAGTTTGAGGAAAAGAATGTTGGTGATGGACCTAGTCTGTCCACCATGTTTGAAGATGATAAACATTTACAAACCATTATTTACAACATCAGGGTATGTGTCTCTGGCATTTTCAACCATTTGCAATATGTTGCTTAGATTTAATCGCATGAAGTCACTGTTGCACAGTAAATACAACACTTGCTTTCTACATGCTAGTTTTTGTGTAGAAAGAACTGATTTTCATGAACCCATTGTATGTATGTAATGCTTTATTTTGCAGGATGCCATTAATGCAGCATTCAATGCTGCCAATCAGTATGCTGATACATTTGAACCATTCCGAGAATTTTATCGTGAAAATGAACATAAGGATTTAGACGGTGTCAAGAGAGAAGAACATGGTATGTATTTTCAGAAATTACCAGTCCTGTCTGATTAAAACTCTAAAAATGTCTTGCAGTAATTTTTCTTTTAGTTAAAATGAGCCAATTCTTGTCTGCAAAAGTGAATCCTAGATCAAAATTTACATTCTATAAAACTTGAAAAGTATCAATTTAGGTGACTATATTCATAAATATATATGCTGAAATATTCAGCTTCAAGAATTATAAAGCAACAGTGTTTATGTTGATGACTAAAAAGTTTTTCTTGTCTATTACAGAGGTCTCATTCTTCGCTGAGCACCTAGAGAAATATCATAAACAACATAAGATGGGTGAAAGTATTGTAGAAAAACGACCTATTGGAATGTTATTGGTAGATGTTGTTAAAATGAGGAGCCTGCTCATCCCATCTCCCCTGCGCTGCCTTGATGTAAGTTTTATTGTCACCAATTATTGGACCAAAAACATTGCCTTTCACATGCAAATGCAAAATTAAGCACTTGTCCTACAATAATAAGGTCCATTGTTTCATCCCTTCATAGATGAAAAATATTCGAAATTTGGAAAAAAGGAATTTGAAAAAGATTGAGTGTTGTCGTTTCTCAAAAAGATTAAAGACTGAAGAAGTACATTTACATTTTATTCCATAATCAAATTTTTCTTTTAGTTAATTTAATGGAATTTGTCTATTGTAGGTAATAAACAACTTATTACCAGTTAAGGCTCGTAAGGAAGTAGATCGCTTAATAGCTGAATTACAGGATGGTCAGTTTAAATTAGAGATAGCTCCAACAACTACGATAGAATTTGTTAAAAATCTCAACTTCTTGGATGAGATACAAGTCAGGGTATGTACTTCAAGAAAAACGTCTGAAAACTTTAATTGAAGTTTTAAGGGTTTGATTACAATATTTTGATGTCTTTCATTATAAAATGCAAAAGGTTGTCTTTATGTGAGCTTTAGTCAATTAGATATTACTAGGAAATCTTTGTATTGTAGATTGTTCTCATTATTAACTTCTCACCAGACCATGTAAATTACCCTCCCAGTTAAAACCCTCCTGTAAATTTTATTACAGATTGATCCACTAGAAAAAGAAGCTATGGTAGTAAAAGAAATGTATGAATTAATAGAACAGTATGATGTACCAACTCCACCAGAAGATTTTGCTGTGTATCAGGTATTATAACATACTGTGTTTAACTGGACAGCTTTCCATCATTAACTCCATTTAAGTACACTTCTTTAAACAAACGTTCTGAACTTGTCCCATCCAACTTTAATATTTCTATACCTGTCTTCAATTGATGTATTGAGCACTATTTTAACAGTGAAAATATTTTATTGTGTATTAAATCATAAATTCAGTATTAGAAGCTGGGATTATTCTGATAGACACTTTGCTCGCTAACATAGGCTTCAGGATTAATCTTTTCACAATCACTTTCATATTCATCTTGATTTTCCTTGTAAGCCTCCATATTAAAACTTCCTGTCTTTATGATTCATGTACCATACATATAAGATTCTAATTGTATTCATTTTAATTTTTCAGACACTGGGACCATCTATAACTAATGTACGTAATGCTATAGATAAAGCATTAACAGAACGAGATGCTAATATAGATAAATTCTGTAATCATCTAGATAAAGATATAGCTGAACTAGCTAAAGATGTGAAGGAAGTAAAGAGAGAGGCACAGGTAAATATATTCCATTCCTAGTGTTGTGATACAGTTAGGTAGAAGTACCATGTCCATGTTTATCATTCTTGTTCTAGTCTTAAGATACCCAACTTTGATAATATGCCATGATTCAACCAACTGGAAATTGGTGTAACTGTACAATTGTATCGGGAACAGTGTCAAAATGATCATCAAATCTATTACAATAGCAAAAGTTTCAACATTGCCCAAATTATGATTATGTGCAATAATACATTATCAAATATGAATGGTGACAGGAAATATTGTATCAATGTCTTAAATGCTCATACAAACATGTTGTATCTTTCCACTACAGAATCCTATGATATTAGATGCCAATGCTGAAAAAGAGAAAGTTAAAGGATTATTAAAGAAATTGTTGAATCAAATGGATGAATTACAGAAGAGTGCTTTCACTTATAAATCTTATCAGAAAAACTTTAAGGTAAGTAAAGAGAATGGCTGAGCAGTGTACAGTTTTTTCATCAAATGGTCAACTTGAAACAATGGTCACTGCATTTAAAGCTGATTTTTTTTGTACAACATTTATCATATATATATGCAGCAATTTTTATTTTTATTGATATATTGTGAGCTTGAAACATGTACTTCTGCTTTGTTCAACTGTATGCGATATGGAAAACAATGCTGTGAAAAGACATGATGGTTGATGAGTAAGTCAACAAAGTGACCAATGGGAGCTGAGATGAGTTTTAGATTCCATTCAGGTATCTTTTATGAGACATCAAAACTAATAATCTTGATTTTAATTCTTTTCATTTCATTACATAAACCTTTATTTTATAGGTGGAAGTAACCAAATTTGATGCACTAGAAGAAGCCCATGCTGAGCTCAAGTTGAAGGAGCAGCTTTGGAATGATTTGGATGAATGGGATAATCTCTTACAAGAATGGACTGAGGTAAAGATTTAAGATTAACTAATCAAATTTGATGTCATATTGCCATATGCTATCATTATTGATTTATCTGAGGTTATGAGAGCCTTCCACATCAATACCTTTGATGTAACTGTTTGATGAAATGTTCGAAGTGTTACATCAGAAATGAAATGATGACATTTCACTGACGTATTTATTTGATCTTTCTTTTGCAAAATAAATTTGGTTTTGATTCAGGCCAAAATAAACAATTTTTATATGTATTTTTTCAGAATGGAAATCCAAAGACTAGTATGTCTACAATGAGATAAATGAGGTAGTCTGCATTTCCAGATCTTGATACATAATATTTAACCTACTTAAGTCTGTTGTGTATTTTATTTTGTAGTCTCCATTTGATCAGTTGAACCCAGAAGAGATGAACACCATTACAACAAAATATTCTAAGTCTGTCCTTCAATTAGAAAAAGGTCTACCCCCTAATGGAGTAGTACCTAAGCTCAAAGAGAAGGTAGAAGTTATGAGAGAAAGGGTATGTTTATATTTTTATATCTTGTGCCTAGACCTTTTTTCTAGAAATTATGGTTTTACCAGTTTTCCAAATTGGAAATTTCAATGCTGTTACATTAATTGTATCTTGTTATATGAAGCTTTTCCATATTAAAGAGCAAAAGTACTTCCCCTTGCTTTATTTTTGTTGCTGACTGTATGAATATTCATTTTTCAGATGCCAGTCATTACTGATCTCCGTAACCCTTCTCTAAAACAACGTCATTGGGAAAGTATTGAGAATATACTAGATCATAAATTTACTCCAGATGAACCTCTAACCCTGGGTAAATTATCTGAGATTCAAGCCTTTAAATATGGTGAAGAGCTTCAAGAAATCTCAGGTCAAGCTTCTTCAGAAGCTAGTTTAGAAGCCATCTTGAAAAAGGTGGGTATTTGATTTTGAATTGATTTGTTTTAATTTTACTAAAGAAGTTTTTTGAATTTACCCTATCTATATTCAGTATCAATCTTGGATGAGTTATGTTAGTGGTAGACTACAAGTCTGAACCAAAATGATTCATCCAGATATTTTGGTGGGTTGACAATTCCAAGATTGTTCCTAAATTGTCTTTTATTTTGGGCAGCCTAAATTTCTCTTATTGTGCTTGGAAATTATTGATGTTTGGCCAAATATTTACCCAGTAAAGTTCCTTCTAGAGCATAAAAACCTATTCAAGATTCAGTGCCTCAGGTTAGTCCTGTAGTCTCAGATTATAGTGCATTTTCGTGTATTTTTAGGTTGAAGATTCCTGGAAATCTACAGAGTTTATGGTATTAACTCATAAAGATTCGAAAGATGTATATATATTAGGTGGTACTGATGATATACAACAGTTATTAGATGACAGTAATATTAATGTAGCCACCATAGCTAGTTCACGACATGTTGGTCCTATCAAATCACGAGTTGATGATTGGGTCAAACAACTGGATCTTTTTGGTAAAACTTTGGTAAGTTTAGATTTAGTGAAGGAGATTTGTGGTTGTTCATTTTGATGTGTTGATCTGGTGACTGAATGACCAAAAATGTTCAAATGGCACACAAACCACCAAACTTATATAGCCCAATTTAGAACAGAATAGTATCATCTCCATTTTGTTTCATTTGTAATTCCTGACCACATTTTGAGTAGTTTTTGAAGCAATATGCAATTGCATAGTTTGTGGTAATGGTATACCAATGATGAATTAACAAAAAAAGGTACTGTCTATCTCCAAAAGAGATTACTAATTGACTTACCCAATAACAGAGTGTCACCAGGCAGTATGGAAGATTGAGCCAATACACATTATTTTTTAGGATGAATGGTTAACCTGTCAAAGGAGTTGGTTATATTTAGAAAGTATATTTAGTGCCCCAGATATTCAGAGACAATTACCAGCAGAAGCTAAGATGTTTATGCAGGTTGATAAATCTTATAAAGATATAATGAGGAAAGTCAATAAGGTACCACTGGCTATTAGAGCTGCTACTCAACCTGGTAAGTAAGCTTATACAGCCTCTTTCTAATTATGATTAGGGAGCCAACAGTTGGAAATAAAAAAAGAGTGACCTAATGCTGCTATCCTGACAAAATGTCCCTCATTACCCAATGCATGGTTTTACCCATCTTCATTTTGTTCAATCAGGCACTCAATTCATTTTCATTTCATCTTGATGGTAATTTGTCTAAGTGTCGAGCATGTTTCAGAATTGGCTCTTTCAGCAAGAATTTATAAAAATCAAATAAATGTGTTTCTTCAGCTCCATCTGATAATTTGAACCTTATAATTTGATACTATATCTATTACATTTAAGGTTTATTGGAAATATTCCAAAACAACAACACACTGTTAGACCAGATCATGAAGTGTCTGGAAGCTTATCTGGAATCAAAGAGAGTTATGTTTTCACGGTATGTAGGTTATTGTCTGAAAAAGGTGACTTTGAACTGGTTTACTGCAAAATATAGTCAAATTATCCAGTCATTGTGATAGTAGACTTGATCAATCTTAGGCTACCCTTAAAGTGTTTTGACCAGTACAAAATTCATTATTACTGCAAATGAGTTTGAGCCATAGGTCTAAAATATTTGTATCCAAAAGCATTGCAAAGTTAGAATTATTATATAAGTTGACAAAAGTGATATCTGGTGCTTTGGAAGGGCAAATATATCCGACCTAAACCTGGATAATGTTTTTGAACCTCTAATGCATTGTTATTGTAGATTTTATTTCTTGTCCAATGATGAATTATTAGAGATCCTAGCTCAAACACGTAATCCATTAGCTGTACAACCACATTTACGTAAATGTTTTGATGCTATACAGAAACTAGAATTTGGTGTCCAATCTTCAGCAGATGGTAAAACCAGTCCTGTTGAAGGTATGTGTATATTTTGAATTATCCTCTCAGTAAGAAAGCTGTTATGTACAGATACAACAGAAAGTTGGCAGGATCTTTTGAGAAAATCGAGTCAGATTTTGTAAGATTTATTATTTTTTAGGTTATTTCTCTACCCAAACAGTGATTCAAACTGAAAAAACTGCCCTGCTTGTTGTTTTCTATATATCTAGATTTCAATTAAAAGATATGATTATAGGATGTATGCCTTAAACTTGATATTGCATTTCTCTGTAAATTTAAAAGACCGGTATATCTTATTATGTTTGGCTGTCAGAATTGAAAGATATTTTGATTTTCTGGTATTATTTGAATTTGATTGTGTATAAGAGCTGTAATTTGTTATTCAAGGTGAAGAGATACAATATACTAATGATATTTTGGCTATGATATCACCTGAAGGAGAAAAAGTCAGTCTAGGCAGGGTAAGTATTAGGCTGTTATTTTAACATTGTATCAAACACTAGGACTGATAATCTTAATCTTAAAAATTACATCAAAGTTCACACGCAAGAGTCAAAAAAGGACGCAAGCAGTAGTGAAAAAAGGACAATCTTCTGAAACGAAGTAAGTGTTAGGTGGTGTTTGGTTTTAGTCATAGTAAATGTCGCATGTAAACCTATAGTACTATGTACATTATAAAATCCTTATATGATTATAAATCAACGACTTTTTTGAATCTACATAGTGTAGGACTAACTCTTTATTTACCAACCAGCTGTTCAATAGCTGATAGGTTATTGTCAAATATTTCAGGGATTAAAAGCAAGAGGTAATGTTGAAGATTGGTTAGGAAAAGTAGAAGAAGCCATGTTCTCTAATCTACGTAAATTGACCAAGGCAGCCATTACAGATTATGAAAGGAAACCAAGAGAAGAATGGGTTGTCTGTCATGCATCACAGGTTGGTTCTCAGTTCATACAAATTTTGGATTTGATTTGCAACTATTCTCATTTCTGCTGTATTACAATGACGCAAACGAACTTTTTTTCTTAAAAGATGGGTATCTTGTTAAGCTATTTGCCCATTCATTTAAATACTTTCTCTCCATCCTGGATGTTAAGGGCTTTATCATGATGAAATCAAGGAAAGCTCAGTTTTCTCTTTAAAGTGGTGAAGATCAAATAGTCTTGTTAGATACCTTGTTAATTATTGTTGTGAACTCTCTAAATATCTACTGTTACTTATTTCTATTGACAGATTGTATTGACAGTCAGTCAGTTAATATGGTGTAGAGAAGTACATGAAATATTAGAAGGTGATTATGACAGATTAGAAGGCATGAAAGAATTTGAAGAGAAGAACTTCAAGGTAAGTCTCAATAAAGTTTCATTAGTTCATTGATTGAAGAAATAATTTCACCATTTTATTCTTTATTTCTCTATACTTTAGTCTTGTCCTAAATGTTGGTGGCAAGCACAATTTTGATTACCAGAAGGTTCTGAATATAGGTTGGATGTCAAAAATGAAATTGTGTACATTAAAATTTCCTGACAAATTTGCTTCTTAGCTTATTATTTTATATTGATTTATTTTGATAATCAATCATTGAATTATTTTTAACTAGGATTTGAATGCATTAGCTTGTATTGTACGTGGTGAACTAACTAAGTTAGCTAGAGCCGTACTATGTGCTCTAATTACTATAGATGTACATGGTAGAGATATGATTACAGAGATGGTCCGAGTCAAGGTAAGAGCCATATCATTTAAAAATGTCTTTAACAACCCTTGAAGGATCACAGAATTTGGCCAAGAAACATCTATTTTAAATAAAGATATAACCAGTTATAGGAATATGAAATAATAGATAATTCATGTTTGTTTGGATTGTCAGGCACCAATACACTTTTTCAAATCTTGATATAATTTGAATTATCCACCAGTTTTAATGAAGATTTCCATATATTCAATGGTGGATATGTCAGTAACAGCTCTAGTGAATGAGGATCTTGACAGATGACAATTTTTGGATGAGCAAGATTCCCAGCTTGCCTCAAAGTTTGTGACTGAATATTTGTTTTGTAATTTACAGGTAGATAGTGTGAGTAATTTTGAATGGCAGAAACAACTGAGATATTACTGGGATAATGATATAGATAATTGTGTTGTAAGAATGAGTAATTCTATATATGATTATGGGTATGAATATCTAGGAGCTTCACCCAGACTGGTCATCACACCACTAACAGTAAGTCATTATACTTTCAAAGCTTTCAAGATCTATAAATATTTCTGATTTGTTTACGTGATTTTTGTCATGTGAGTTTTGTTTACACTATTTTGATTTCCACCATATGTAAAAAAGGATCTTGATTAATTTTATTAGCTGCTTTACTCAAGTTTGGTAATTCCAGTCTCCAATTCTCATCAACCTTCCAGCTTATCATTTCTTAACGCCTCCTCTACTTCCAGGATAGATGTTACTTATGTTTAATGGGAGCCTTACAGTTAGATTTAGGAGGTGCCCCTGCAGGTCCAGCTGGTACAGGAAAAACAGAAACAACCAAAGATTTAGCTAAATCACTTGCTAAACAATGTGTTGTCTTTAATTGTTCAGATGGACTGGATTATAAGGTAATTATTCCAACCATATAAAATATCACATGATTGTAATATGCTTTAAAGCTCATCTTGAAGAATTTTTCGAAAAATGTTCTCACTTCTGCTTCAATATTGGATGTTTGCAACACTTGTTAGCTGTTGGACATAATATAGATATGTACCTTGAAATTCCACTTTTCAAATGATATTAAATGCTTTTACTGTATCAAAAGAAAGCTAATTTAATGTTATCTCTTCCCTAAAATAATTTGTTTTTCTTTATAGATGATGGGTCGATTCTTCTCAGGTTTAGCTCAGTCTGGAGCTTGGTGTTGTTTTGATGAATTTAATCGTATTGATATTGAAGTATTGTCTGTCATTGCTCAACAGTTGATTACTATCAGAAATGCAAAATCACAGAAGGTAAGATCATTGACAGATTGTCTACCAATTTATGATAGCTCATCAACTTCATTGAGAATTTCCATTGGATAGATTGCATAGATTCAGTTGGTAAAGATCCAAAACAGTTAAACCTTTTTATTAGGAAGAAGACTTATTTGAGTTTAAGACTTTTTAGTTTAACTTTTTGGTGTTTGTTGTCTTTCAGTTATCAAGATTTATGTTTGAAGGTCGTGAGATTAAACTAGTAAATACTTGTGCAGCCTTTATTACTATGAACCCTGGTTATGCTGGTCGAACAGAATTACCAGATAACTTGAAGGCTTTATTCAGACCCATTGCTATGATGGTGCCAGATTATGGTAAGAAATTTAATCATTTTAAGCAGTGTGCAACCATAATATAAAGATTATATCTTATGTTATCTTCACTGTAGATTCTACCTGAGTTTTGTAACCTAGGTAAAAATTAGGGTCTTTGCACTAAAGAATATTTTTGTTATTCCCACATGCCAACTTAAATGATACACTTAAAGCCATGTTTTGGAAAGTAAACCTCTATTCTACAAATTATTTGTTCGATGAAGGTTTTATAGCTGAAATATCAGCAGCATCAAATTTGCTTACTTCAATCCAAATTTTGATAGAATCAATTCTTATGTCTGGTACCAATGTTCACAAAGATTCATTTCTTACTGTCCAAAGTTGCAAAATATAACCTGATATGTTATCTTTTCAGGTTTGATTGCTGAAGTTATTCTGTACTCAGAAGGTTTTGAATCATCTAAAACTTTGGCCCAGAAGATGGTACAGATGTACAAACTGTGTTCTGAACAATTGTCTCAACAAGATCATTATGATTTTGGTATGAGAGCTGTGAAATCTGTCTTGGTGATGGCTGGTGCCTTGAAACGACAGAATCCTGATAAACGTGAAGATGTGGTGTTAATCAGAGCATTAAGAGACAGTAATTTACCAAAATTCTTGTCTCAAGATGCTATACTTTTCCAGGTGTGTAGCAGTTTGACAATTCTACTATTATCAACTGTTAAATTGTCAAAAATTTCCAAATCCATTTTATGTTATTTATGATTTGTAAATTGTAAGCATTTGTAAGGGCTAAATGTGGTTTCCAATGTAATGGCTGCATGAAATATAGAAATATACAGTAGTCATCATCACAGTAGCTAATAAAAACTTACTTTATTGTCATCTTAAAAAGAGTAAGTCGTGAATGTACCTTGTAGATCATGTTGGTGTTCTTGATGTTCTCTTTGTAATCATGAATTCTCTGTTCTTTTTGTAGGCTATTCTATCTGATTTGTTCCCCAATGTTGAAATACCTGAACATGATTATGGTCTGTTACAAGAGGAAATGATTAAAGTACAGAAAGGAATGAAGTTACAACATGTTGAGAGTCAGATAAAGAAAGTGATAGAGTTCTATGAGACTATGATTGTAAGACATGGTGTAATGTTGGTAGGACCTACTGGTGGTGGTAAAACCACAATATACAAGGTAATCTTTGAAGCAAATTGTTGGTCCTGATACAATATGTTTGGATTTTTTAAACCTATTTTCCCTGTTGGTGATGCAGGTTGGAGGGGCTAATATTGAAAACGTGTCTGGTTACTATTGTGAAAATAAACCTTGTCTTCATGATTTGCATGTTAATGATCATTTTATATTGTTATTTTAAAATTTTCCTCATTGAACACTGCATTACCAGTCTCATTTAGCTAATTAGGGAGCAGAAAAATATTGTCACTTTGTAGGTGAGATGCTAAGCTTCTGACTATCATGAAAGTTTTTTTCAATATCTTGTGTGCTTCACTCACTTCACTTTGTTATTATTTGTTATTGCTACAATAGTGTCTGTTCAGGCAATAGTTTCTCTGATTGCACAAAGCATAACAATCATTTGAAATATTTCAGATATTAGCTGAAACCCTAACAAATCTACATGAAATGGGTGAGGAGAATGCATTCTATCAACCAGTACATACCTATATATTGAATCCTAAATCTATTACTATGGATGAACTATATGGTGGTGTTAATAAACTAACATTAGAATGGCATGATGGTTTAATGGCGTTAACAGTACGTGGTTGTGTACAGGTATGTAGATTATAAGTTTATTATACTCGCATTTTAGTTTAACACTGGATTCAAATCTAATTTTTACATTTGAATAGATTTGAATCGCCATCTCCTAAATATTGCTTTTTTGGTGGTTATTTTATATATGAGCTACAAAAAGACAATGCAAAAGAAAAAAAATAATCTTGAACTAAAATCCTTAAAAACTATGGGATTGACTTTTGAAAAGTGAATAAGGTGAATTGGAACATGATCCAAAGAGATTTTGAGAAACAGTACTAAAATATTTGTTTTATGAATAAAAACTCTAGAAGGCTAATATTCTATAAAAGAGAAATTTATATTGTAGGATACTACAGAAGATCATCAATGGATTATATGTGATGGACCAGTAGATGCTTTATGGATTGAGAATATGAATACAGTACTAGATGATAATAAAATGTTATGTTTAGCTAACAGTGAACGTATTAAATTAACACCATTTATTCACATGTTGTTTGAAGTACAAGATTTAGCTGTAGCTTCCCCAGCCACTGTCAGCAGGTAATTTATGGTGTTCACAAGCATTTACTTTATCATTTTAGTGGCCTTTCTTCCAGTGATCGTTTCTAGACTATACCAGTTATATATACATTTTTTGATGTCCAATAATTTTATTATTAGATACAACCCATGCATTTAATCAAAGAGTTTGTTCTTGATTGTGAATAAGCAATGCATCATGTATTATTGAATCATGGTTTAATTTCAAGATTCTATTAATCATACTAATTTCATTGTTGTTGTGAAAATGATTACCTTGAAGGACTAACTGTCAAAAAGTGTAGTACAGTTTGGGAAAAAAAAATCTATCATTGGCACAAAATAAAATATTATAATTTATTCTGATTAGATGTGGTATGGTATATATTGATGCTGATGAATTGAGATGGATGCCATCAGTTTTAACATGGATGGAGAGTTGGAAACATAAACTGACAGAAGAATCTAAAGAATATTTATTAGATTTATTTAGAAAATACATTGATGATGGTCTGAAATTTGTTGATAAAAAGTGTACCCAGGCTATTGGACAGGTTTGTTTTTCCATTGTGTTTTTGTTTTTTATTTTTGGGAAAAAAAAAAATGCCTGATATTGAAAAGGAAAGTTTGTTTCCATATGCCCCTAATAGTTGCCCTATCACCATCACAATTACCTTAAACAATGCTAATACCTAACTAATTAAACAGATTGATATCTTTGTCACAACAAAAGTTTGCACTTCATATTCTTTTTCATTAGGACTTGAAACAAATAGATTTGGGAACATAAGTAGATCTGAAAAGTTGTTAGAATATAAGTATTATCAACTTGCTCCTTAAGTTACTAGTTAGTACCTGTTTGTATGCATCAAACTTGTTTGTGAATCACAAATTTATGTTATTAACGTTATCTACATATTGTTTTCCAACTTGCAGGTTGATATCAGTAAAGTAACAACAATATGTAAACTAATAGAGTCTCTACTCTTCCCTCATCGTGGTGGACCGGACTTATCTCAAGATCCTAATAAATTACATCCACTGATCTGTACAACCTTTGTCTTCTCCTATCTGTGGGGTATTGGTGGAAACCTGACTGAGAACTATTGGGATGCCTTTGATACATTCATGAGGAACCAGTTTGATGACAATAGTGATGCTAAGGTAAGACATAGAAAAGATTGTAGTTTAGTGGATAAATCTTATGAGGTCATTTGCTTGGTTTCATTTGGAATCTGTCTTCATTTGGGAAATATGGAGTGGAAAACTAAAAATGTGAAACACCATTTCATTTCTTTTAAAAGTTATTCTTTCCTCACTATATATCAGCTGTAAATGGGTACTTTTTTTAAACCTTTACAAATTCAACCTGGAACCTATTGGGTTGTTTTATTTGTAAAATGTTTAAATATCAATTGCAAATGGACTGACTTAAACAGTCTGGTAATCTTTGCAAGGTGTCGAGCAGCCGACCAAATAGATGAATGTAAATTATTTTTGATTCATTTTAATTGGAAACCAATTTATACTAAAGTACATTCAGTGGGATCAAGTCCGGACGAAGTTCACGAATCCAGACTGACAAGATCCATTATTTTGTAGATGCCATCGGGAGGTGATTTATGGAGTTGTTATATGGATTTTGAGACAAGAAGACTAGATTCCTGGGAGAAGATAGTACCACAGTTTAAATATAATAGAGAAGTACCATTCTTTGAGATGTTGGTACCTACAGTTGATACCGTTAGATTTGGTTATTTATTAGAGAAATTGATAGCTGTCAGAAGATCTGTTTTATACACTGGTGGTACAGGTGTAGGAAAGGTAAGCTTCATGATAATACTTCATTTTGCTAATCTTAGGATATTTTCATTGAATAAAAATATAGGTAACATTTTTCAACATGAATATGAAGATGATACATAAAGAATACCAAAACCACAAGACATTTTGAAGATTCCTTACTTGTCAGAATGGGATGTCAACTCATAGTACATAACTATACTATAAAGATACCATTATATTTCTTGTCCACTGGGTTGAGTTATTTATCAAATAAGAGGACACAGAACTACCCATTCTCATTATCATTTTACCTGGTCAGTGATGCAGGTCAGAAATGATGATGTTGAACTGATTAGACTTGACCATAAACCAAGACAATGTTTACTCAAGAGATTAAAATCAAAAACCAAAAAAATTTTCCTCATTGTACATGGTATTGATTATCTTCATTAGCATAATTACGGATGGAAAGTAGAATGTAAAACTGTATTTTATTTATATTTGTTTTTTTAGTCTGTTATTGCTAGAGGGTTGTTATCTGGTATATCAGAGAGACAGAATTATGTTCCTATCTTTATCAACTTCTCAGCTCAAACTAGTAGTCAGAGAACACAGGAAATGATAGAGGGAAAACTAGAAAAACGCCGAAAGACTGCACTTGGTAAGCATGCTTAAGCTCTCATTATCCTTGGTCTGCCTAAGCAGGAATCGCATAAGATTTGCCATCAAATTGCTGTTGGGCTCTTGATGTTCAATAATTTCTACATGCTCAAAGAACAAAAATTTCTGAGAAACAAGAAATCCCTCAAATTGAGATGAAATGATTAAGACATAACAAATTCTGTAGCAGTAGTTACTGTGTTGTCCATGTCTTTATTTTTGACCCATTTGTTTCTGTTTTAACAGATATTTTAAAATGAATTGTTTTATGAATCTATTTTTCTAAATATAACAAAATCTTTGACCTTATAGGAGCACCAGTAGGAAAACGTGTAATTATATTAATTGATGATCTTAACATGCCTAAACAAGATACATACGGTTCTCAACCACCCATAGAACTACTGCGACAATATCAAGATTTTGGTGGATTTTATGACAGAGAGAAGAATTTCTGGAAAGATATTCTGGTAAGATAATTGAACTGGAATACATTTTTGAGTTTTATTAGATACTGGCTTCCCCAATATGTTAGATGTTCGCTTGCCTTGCTGGAGGACCAGATCTCTCTTGGAAGTGATTCAGGTTGGAGGGGCTGGCACGGAAAAAGGGTCTTTATGTGACACAAAAAAAGGGAAAATATTAATAGCAAGTATTTTTGATTATTAAGAAGTTTTGTTTGTTTTCTGCAGGATGTGACACTGACTGCTGCCTGTGCTCCCCCTGGTGGTGGACGTAATCCAGTCACACCTAGAATGATGAGACATTTCAGTATGTTATGTATACCTTCACCATCAGAACACAGTCTGAAAATAATGTTCAATGTAAGTATTATTCTTTGAAAAAATAGTAAACACTAAAATAGAATATAATGTGTGACCATGGTTTGGCAGTTTTTTTATGATTTTCAATACCAAAGCAATAGTATTGAATCATGCAGAAACCTGTTTGAATTTTGAATTTTTTTCAACATTTTCTCTGCTTGAGTAGTAAGCTTTCACATTCCAAAATTGTACAAATTTGTTGGTCATATTTTGCAGCCATGTCTGGTTTGTTACTTTTCATATTTATTCCTTATTTTTCTTCTGTTTCTTTCAGTCAATTTTGAGTGGTTTTTTAATGGATTTCCCCCACTCTGTACGACAGACAACAGAATCTATAGTATCAGCTGCTGTAGAGATGTATTTTAAAATGAAAACAGACTTGTTACCTACACCAGCTAAATCTCATTATGTATTTAATCTTAGAGATTTATCTAAATGTGTACAAGGTAGGATTTTTTGTTTGTTTGTTGTCTGTATTTTATTGCTGATTAAATGTGCTGACATTGGTATATAGCGTGGCAATGAGTATGGATTCTTGGAAAAAAAAAACTGTGTGCTTCAAGCATATTAAGAAAAAGAAACTGATTATATGTGTCTGATCTTAAGTCCAAAACCAAGACATAGTGATTAGCAGTAATAATATACCTGACTACTTCTGATCTTTTCCTTGTTAATTAAATTACTTTATATTTGCATTGAAAAATGGCTGACATGACAGGGACATGATTTTTGAGCATTTGTTGTTGTTTCCCGATGGAAAAATATACTCAAATATATTTTACAGGTATCCTACAAGCTGATCCAGGTGTTATTAGAGATAATAAACAGATATTCCGTCTGTTCTGTCATGAAGCCCAGCGTGTCTTCCATGATAGATTGATCAACAGTGAAGATAAAATGTATTTCCATCAGATCATGTCAGAATTAGGAAATAAATACTTTGGAGAGGTATGGATTGTTTTAAGAATAACAAATTAACCTGGAATAGTTCTAAAATTGTTTTGATTCCCCACAATGATATGTCAAGGCCTTTGATTCAAGAGTTTGAGATTCTCATATTTTAGTATCCATAACCACCTACATCTTTAGTGCAACTTAACCTATTGTGAGCAGTCTGCTGATCAATTTGTAAAAACAGAATTCTTTTAAACACCATGTATTGTCTCCATAGTCTCCTATAGTATTGTCTGGCACTTGGCACCAGAAATTACCAAAAAGGGGAAAAACAATCTCAACACCTTTTTCTGTATTTCCAGAATATAGATCCTGAATCATTTGTAACCAGTCCTATATTATTTGGTGATTTTATGAAGATGGGTGCTAATAAAGAAGATAAGATGTATGAAGAACTAGATTTAGTTAAAGTTAAAACAGTACTTGAAAATGTAAGTTTCATTGTAGAAAATTGAAGTCTGGATTATTGAATTGTATCTTGTACACAGACATACACAGATTCAATTTGATTGAAACTATATTAGCCACCCTTAATATTTTGTCCATTGTTTATTAATTATCTGAAAAACAGTCATTGTTTGGAATCATCCCTTGGTATGCATAGATGCACAACTATATCCATGTCCAAATGTTTGTGTTTAGTGAGCAAGTTTCTTACTGTTGAATGACTCTGGCTCCATTAGATAGAGGCTGAAATGAAAGGACAACGGTACTTAACATATCAATTTTATGAAAACTCCCATAATTGCAGCTCTCAATTCTCCCTGAACATGATATATATTTTCTGTTTCAGTATTTAGATGATTATAACCTACAGTCATCTAAAGAAATGAAGCTAGTATTTTTCTTAGATGCTATAGAACATGTAGCTCGTATTGTACGTATGATAGAACAAGAACGTGGTAATGCTTTATTAGTTGGTGTTGGTGGTACTGGTAAACAATCCTTGACTAGGTGAGAGAGATTTTTTGTCTTTTCATTTTTGTTAAAAGAATTCAGTTGCTTTACACATATGTGTGATGGGTCAATACTGAAATTTTTACCCCCATGTCAGACACAGTTGAAGACTTTATTTCTTAACTACCGGCACCTAATTAAGATGTAACCAAATCTGCTTTGGCTGCTTAAGCAAAGGTCAAAATTTTCAAAAAAGTGTTGAGGTTAAAAATGATTGAAATGGCAAAGAGATGATTTTATGATATTTTTTGATGGTTTCAGATTAGCTGCTAGTATTTGTGGATATCAATGTGTACAGATTGAACTATGTAGAGGCTATGATATTGACTATAATATTTAATAATTTCAGATTAGCTGCTAGTATTTGTGGATATCAATGTGTACAGATTGAACTATGTAGAGGCTATGATATTGACTATATTTTTTGATGGTTTCAGATTAGCTGCTAGTATTTGTGGATATCAGTGTGTACAGATTGAATTATGTAGAGGCTATGATTATGCTGCTTTCCATGAAGATTTGAAGAAATTATATTTCTTGGCCGGTGTTGAAAATAAAAATACAGTTTTCCTCTTTACTGATACACAGGTAAACAGAAGTTATTTGGCAGTGTTCATTAAACTGATGGAAAACATTAGGCCTATTTGTCAAACCTTTAGTTAAGGGCAATCAAGCTGTCATTGTAGATATTGACACAATTGGTTTATCCTATCATAGATTATTCAAAACTATAATATAACATACATGTAGCTAATCATGTTAATCAAATCAAACAATCAATATTGTGTAGCAATGTCCAAATTTTTTCATTTTCCATTTGTATGGCACATTCAATCCTATGATAAATTTTTTCTGCATTTAGATTGTAGTAGAAGAGTTTTTAGAAGATATTAATAATATATTGAATTCTGGTGAAGTACCCAATCTATTTGAACCTGATGAATATGAGAGATTAATCATAGGATGTCGTCCAGGAGCTAAAGAAGCTGGTATACCAGAAGGCAACAGAGATTTAATTTATGAATTCTGCATCAATAGAGTCAGGTAAGTGATTTCTGAAAGAACTCAAACTGGCTTACTCCTTGTAGTATCTTTAAGAAATAGTCCTTTATTCTCAGCTTGCAGACCTTTATACATCTTTTTTTTTATTTTTCAGAAATAACCTCCATATTGTACTATGTATGAGTCCAGTTGGTAGTGCCTTTAGATCTAGATGTAGAATGTTCCCATCTTTAGTCAACTGTTGTACAATTGATTGGTTTATTGAGTGGCCTAAAGAAGCTTTACTTGGTGTATCCAAATCATTCTTTGAATCTGTGGAATTGGGCTCTGAAGATTTGAAGGTAAGGAAATGCAGATTTTTTGATTTAAGGATTCACAAAAAATCCTGACTGACTTAAAATTTGTCAATGTTGTGATAAATTATTCTTGAATTATTTTCCTTATTGTATTATGAAAAGGCATCAAAATCACTTTCTAAGAAAGTCAAGTTTTCACATGGTCGACTGGAACTCTCTACACTTATAAATATGAATTTGGTGAAATCTCAAATGGGCTTGAAGCTGCTTTTTTCAATGAATTGTTTTTGACTTATTGATTATATGGTTTGTTCAGATATCAATTTGATTGAAAGTCGAAGTGTTATGCTTTTTTAGTTTAAAGAAAATTTTATCTCTGAACCACAAATCTACAATCACGGGTGTACCTTTTAATAAGGCTATATTTGACAAAAATATTGTTATATATCATATTATGACAAGATTAGTAAATGAATTGAAGAACTTCTTGGACAAAATGAAAAAAAAACCTCATTAATGATGTTCGGACATGTATATGAAAAGAAAATTATATTCATCAAAATTATTGGCTTTACCTAGATGTAACATGTTTATTATAGGAGAGAGTATCAGAGATGTGTGTAGAAATACATACTAGTGTTAGTCATATGGCTGATAGATTTTATTCTGAATTAAAGAGAAGATATTATACTACACCAACATCTTATTTAGAATTAATCAATCTGTATTTATCAATGTTATCAGAAAGAACAAAGTAAGTTTTAAACATTTCAGCCATTTGATTGAACATTGATTTAATTAGCAAATAATTTAGCAAATAATTGTTCTTATAATTAGTTTCCTTTTATGATGTAGTAAAGTGTAGAAAATAAACAAAAGATTTGAACTCATATGAATCACTTTATAGGGCAGAAATATTGAGTTTCCTAGAAAGGTTACATTCTTGATTGAACCATGTTCATGTGTTGTATTTTGTAATATTACTTTGCATCCTATTTTCAGAGTATTAAAGTCAGCTAAAGACAGAGTAAAGAATGGTTTATTAAAACTATTAGAGACTAATGATGTAGTAGATAAAATGAAGATAGAATTAGTAGGTCTAGAACCAGAATTAAAGAAAAAATCTGAAAGTACACAAAAATTGATGGAAACATTGGTTATTGATCAAGAGAAGGCTGATAATGTAAGTACAACAGGTGGAGCAACTCTATGTAATTCAAAATTTATTAAATAAGCTTATAACATTTGTACCACTTGCTATGCATTTTTGCTTTAGACACTGATCCAGATATACAGCAAGATAGCACAGTCAAATGGCTGACATAAATTTGGAGCTGGAAATTGTTTGCTGCTCTCCTTTGAAAATTTCTGTCTTTGGTTGGTCATTGGTCTTCATAAATGATTTCATAATACTTGTACTGTACTCCTTTGACATTACATACATTGGACTATTTGATAAAACAACAAGGTTGTGACGATTTTATCTTCAACTCCAATGTTTTTGTGCAATGATCAAGTTATAATATCTGTATTGGTTAATGCAGCCATTAAAGTTACCAAAAGTTACTATTCTAATGAGACGTTTTAATTCCAGGTACGTAAAGTAGTAATGGAAGATGAAGCTGTAGCTAAAGTTAAAGCAGAAGAAACACAAGTTATAGCTAAAGATGCCCAAAAAGATTTAGATGAGGCTTTGCCAGCTTTAGAAGCCTCAATTAAGGTAAAGATGGATATAGATAAATAATGTTGAGCTACCAGACATACAACAATACATTATCACATCCGAAATTGTGCAGTTTAATTGCACATTTGTTGAACAATTTTTCGGAATCCCCAAACAAGTTAAGTTGGCATAACTTCCTTTTACTTTAACGTTGATATATTTGTAATATTTCTATTTAGGCCCTGGATTCTCTAGATAAGAGTGATATTGCTGAGATTCGTGTATTTTCTAAACCACCAGAATTAGTACAAACTGTCATGGAGGCTGTGTGTATTCTCATGGGGGCCAAGTAAGTGTTAAACTACATTGAATACGAGATGTGCTGAAATATTTACTGTCAGTAATGAGGCAGAACAAATCAGCATTGCCAATGATCATTGTTTTGGTATTCTAAACAAGGCAATTGTTCTACATGTATTCCAATGGAAGATGTTTTAACAATACTATACCTTATGATCATAATTCTCTAATTATTTTATTCAGAACTGATTGGGCCACTGCTAAAGTACAACTAGGAGATGCTAATTTCTTGAAGAAACTTTATGAATACGACAAAGATAATATCCCCGATGGAATTTTAAAGAAATTGAAGAAATATATTGATAATCCTAAATTTATACCAGAAGCTGTAGAAAAAGTCTCAAAGGTAAAACATTATATATCTTCCACAAGAAAATATGGAACTGATGTCAAACTGTTATTTCAAAATGCAACCGTTGGACTTCTTCTTTAGAGGACGTCTTGTATGTAGTTGACTGAACTAAATTTCTTGGCGAAGAATTTATTTGTGTAAAATAAAAATACAGGCAAATAATTAACTATTGAATATATTTTGCAGGCTTGTAAATCTATGTGTATGTGGGTAAGAGCTATGGATCTATATGCTAGGGTCTTCAGAACTGTGGAACCAAAAAGACAGAGGTATGAACTTTTACTTTAGAAAATGTGTCACAGATTTTTAGAGGAACTGGTTTAAAACTATTACATATTTATACTGTATTTCACAGAAGGTAACTTGGTAGTTTACAGGATTTTTAATAAATGTTTATGATGTCACATGATTTTCAATCCAGCCAATAAACATGCTTCTATATATAGTTTATAACATAATTATTCTTGGATTTCAGACTAGCTGCAGCAGAAGCAGAATTGGCACAAACCATGAAGAAATTAAAAGAGAAACAAGATCAGTTAGCAGAAGTTGAGAGTAAAATAGCTGAACTACAGAAATCTTATGATGACAGTGTATCAGAGAAACAGAAATTAGAGAGAAATATTTCAACTACTGCTGCTAGATTAAAGAGAGCTTCTAAATTGACAACAGCTCTTGGTGATGAACAAATCAGATGGGAAGAGAGTGTCAAGGTGGGCAAATTGTTTAGTGCTCTTTTTTGTTCATTGATAGTTACAGTAACAGTTGGCAAACCAGCTCAAATGTGTTTACCAGATGAAAAGTGCTAGTCAAAATTGAAACCTTGGCAATGTAAATAAACTCAATTTTGGGCCTTATTCCTGTCCAAAACAAGGCTATCTCATCAGTTGAACAAGTTTTGATGCATATTCATGAACACCAATTATCGGTCATTAAACCTTGGAATTTGGTACCAAATTTTGATACAGGTCTCATCAGATATATCTGATTTCAGGAATTTGAAAAAGAAATTGGTAATGTGGTTGGAGATGTCTTTATATCTGCTGCCTGTGTGGCCTACTATGGTGCCTTCACCAGTACCTACCGTCAAGAATTGGTCTCAAACTGGACTCAAAGATGTCAAGAACTAGAAATTCCTGTTACAGAAGGCATGACTTTAGAGAAAGTTTTAGCAGATCCATTTGAAATTAGACAATGGAATTCTGATGGATTACCAAGAGATCAAGTCTCAACTGAAAATGCTATTTTGGTTACACGTGGAAGACGTTGGCCATTGATGATTGATCCACAAGAACAGGTATGACTTAACAATCTGTTTTGAGTCAGTGAATTAAAAACAAAAATTTGAAAGATTTTCATGATATGGATTTAAAATAAGTATCTATCCTACTCCCTGGGAGACAATGAAAAATATGGTTTTGTCCTGCAAAGATTTTTCTCCTAAACATTAAAAAAAGCATTACGTCCCATGTATTAAAATCAATATTTTTTGACAGGCCAATAGATGGATTCGTAATAGAGAGTCTAAGAATGGATTAAAAGTAATCAAGTTATCAGATGGACAGTTTTTACGTACATTAGAGAACTGTATACGTATTGGTATGCCAGTATTACTAGAAGATGTAGAGGAAACATTAGATCCTGCTCTGGAACCTATTTTACTCAAACAAACATTTACTTCTGTAAGTATCTCTCCAAATAGTTAAAAGCTAATGTGCCGCAAACTGTTAATTGTTTTTAGTGGAAAGTTGGAAATGAATAAGTCGGAAGGTCATAGGCAAAAATCTTGCCATTGACAGGATGATTGTAAAGGTTATGATATGGCTTTGTGTTTACAGACTTTGTGTCAAGGCCTCTGATTAGCTGTACCATCCAATAAATTCACTGTATTAACAAACTGCGGTGAAACAAGAAAGGTGGCCATTGAATCAAGTTGTAAGCTGAAAGTTTTAATAGCTTGACATAGTGCTGATTGGTTTTTAATGACCTACAGCTAGACAGCCTAGTCAGGTTGGCCAAAACTGACATCATATATTTCATTTTATTTTTATTTCAGGCTGGTAGATTGTTGATACGTTTAGGTGATAGTGATATAGATTATGACAGAAACTTTAGATTTTATATGACAACTAAAATGTCTAATCCACATTATTTACCTGAAATTTGTATTAAAGTTACTATTATTAACTTTACTGTTACTAAATCAGGATTAGAAGATCAGTTACTTAGGTATGTGTTACTGATGCATGTATGTTTCTCAATCTGGTAGTTGTGGAGGTCCACATCCAAAACTGAAGCAAATCTACTCGAGTCAGGCATATTCTTTCTTTCAGCTCATTTAGCGCCAAAAACTTTTACTCGAGTCATCACCAGTGTTTTTCTTTGTTAAAGTGACATAAGTTTTAAAAAACTTTTTTCAAGTTATTCATTTCAATTCATGTCTTGTTTTGTATTTTGATTGTCTGAAATTAAACAAAAATGTGAAAAAAAAAGTCTATATATCTGCTATGAATAACTTTCTGATGTGTATAAAAATTTCTATATTAATACAGTGATGTAGTGAGGTTAGAGAGACCAGATTTAGAAGAACAGAGAAATCAGTTAATAACACGAATTAATGCTGATAAAAATCAACTGAAGGCTATAGAAGACAGAATATTAAAATTATTATTTGAATCTGAAGGAAATATTCTGGATAACGAAGAATTGATTAATACTTTGAATGAATCCAAGGTGAGAATGACTTCCTTTAAAAGATTTTTTATCACTTAACATTCCAAGCAAAATTTTCTGCATTGCATACTGCAAGTAGTATCCTGTCTTCAAGTTCAATTACACAATAGAATTTGAAATATGAAAAACATTTTTTTTTTCTTTTGTACCAGCAATGTTTTCTTAAAGCTAACCTCAAATTATATAAAAACTAAAGGAATTGTTTATATTTAGGTGACATCTGGAGTTATTACACAGAGATTAACAGAAGCTGAACAGACAGAAGCTAAGATCAGCATTGCTAGAGAGAAATATAGACCTGTAGCTACCAGAGGGTCTGTTATGTATTTTGTAGTAGCTGATATGGGAGAAGTAGATCCTATGTACCAATTCTCATTGAAGTACTTCAAACAGGTAGGTGTCATTCCAAAAGTGTTGAGCTTAAAGCTCTGTTACAGCTATATAATTTAGCTTAATATAATGTCTTAGAGCTTAGGTAAGACCCTTATCAGTAGAAAACCTTGACACTTCTGCTGAAATATGTAGTGTACACAAATTTTATTCATTTATTGGTATAGATTCAAGTAGGTAACTTTGAAATCTATTGAGATGGTTGATATTTTGACGACTAAGCTTATACCCTTTTAATGTCCAGTCTTGAACATAAATTAGGAATTTTCTTTACTTTTTACTCTTTCTTTCATGTAATTTTTTAAATGTTTCTAAGACTGTGTCTATCAACTTGTCTATATTATGATATCTGTTTTCCAGTTATTTAATGCTACAATAGAAACTAGTGAGAAGAATGATGATTTAGATAAAAGATTACAGATTTGTTTAGATCAAACTACTATGTGTGTTTATAAAAACGTTGCTAGGTGTGTATTCTTTAAGACATGTAATTTATTGTGTTACTTAGTGAAGAAGTTTGCTATAGAGGTCGGTGCCCAGATTATTCAAAGAATGAAAATTGCCAAGTGCAAAACGATAGTGCTTTTTCCGAAGTCTTGCTTTTATTATTTAGGTTTAGAAAATTTTGACTACAAGGTGAGATAGGTCTAAATTAAAATACTAGCTTTTTGAAACTTTGCTTTTAAAAAGTGGTTACAGCTTGTTGGACTGCTGAAACTATCAAAGAATCACTTACACAGTGGTAACACCACACAACTAATTTTCCCATAATTGATAAGCTTATCTATAACTCTGTGACCTAGGCCAGTGCTTTCATCGACACTCGTCTCAATACACCCTAACACCAGTTTAGTTTTTAAACAAGTATCAAATGTTATTTTATAGAGCTCTATTTGAGAAAGATAAACTGGTATTTTCATTCATGTTATGTGGTGAGATAATGAAAACAGCTGGATTAATAACTCTAAATCAGTGGAACTTTTTCTTACGTGGTGCTGCTGGTATGGATAAGGTAAGTTATTTGTTTTGTAATGAAAAATACCATACTCAACTTCATGAACTTTTTGGGGTAAGTGTACAGAATGACTATATATTGACCAACCTAATGGCTTCATGTGTTTTTGAAGGTTGAGCATGACCTGCAAGACCTTCATCAACAAGAAAGGTCAAAGAATATAAATCTTGCAGCATAAAAGTTTTGTGTTTTTGTTACAGGAAAGACCACCTAAACCTGATGTACCTTGGTTAAACCAACAGACATGGAATACAGCTTGTGATCTACATGATAATTTACCATTATTTAAAAATATACATCTAGAATTAACTAAAACACCAGTCTGGGTTCGACTGGGTGAAATAGAGGTCAGATATTTTTTATTTTTCGCCCCTTTTGAATTCAATGTTACTTTGAGGGATTGGAAGGAGGATTTGGGTTTTTTTTTAAGTATAGCTTCTACTTTACATCATCCCAATTATAAAAATACTTAACCATAAATGATATCACAATTGCAAAAATGTCTAATGATATTTAGGGGCTATATTTTAAATTCCATTAAATAATTCTTGTAGAATGTCTAGAGAGTGGCCTTAGATGTCCATCTTCTCTGCCCAGCCAGAACTTTCATGGTGATCACTGTATTCAAACTAAATACATTTTTGTTCTTTTTTCCTATATTATGAGAGTTAAATTAGTTATGATGTTATATGTATTGTAGATCCATGCTAACCCTGAAGAAAGTGAACTGTATGGTCCTCTACCACCAGAACCTGAACAAGCTATTGAAGGTCAAGATTCTACTCCTGCTGAAGGTGAAGAAATCAAGGGACATTGGAATAAACGTTTGACAACATTCCAGAAACTCATGTTTATCAAGGCTTTCTCTGAGGAAAAGGTATTTTTTGCTTACTACTAAGAGTTTGTTGGGACGTCATAGAGAATATGTCTTTCAATATGTTTCTGAATGCTTTCAGTAATTCAAACTGATGTGGCTGACATTGTATTAGATGTTTGTTGCTCTGAAAATCAAGTAGGCTCTATGTGATGGGAATCAGTGAAACTTTAAAAATTATGTTTCCAGTTATGATTACTAAATTGTTATCTTTTTCAGACAACTTTTGCTACAACAGATTTTGTGAAGATAAATCTTGGACAACCGTTTGTAGAAAGTCCACCTATTGGGTTAAATGAGTTATATGAAGATATGACTAAGATAATACCCCTTGTCTTTGTTCTCAGCCCTGGCTCTGATCCCATGGGAAACTTCCTTCGATTTGCCAAAGAATCCGGCTTTCAGGACAGGTTAGTATTTAAGTAGTAAAGAGAAGTATTGAGTTGTTCCCTTTCTGATAGTCAGCATTGACCAAAACTTTTCGGACTTCATTAATGAATATGATGCAAATTAAGTTCTGTTTATTAAACATAGATCTACTCAAGTATCTTTTTTATAAAAAAAAACTGATCTTACGAATAAGCTTTATATGCATATAATTACCATGTATGCCATGCTTAGTTATATAAATTGTCAGTTTAGATCTATCTGAAAAAGGTAGCTTTCAAGAACAGTACCATATTTTAATGTGTTTTTTTTTTTTTTACAGAATCCAGTCTATATCATTGGGTCAAGGTCAAGGCCCAGTTGCAGAGAAAATGATATTAAGTGCCGTTAAAAATGGTGATTGGATTTTCTTACAGGTAAAATGCTTGAAACTTTCATATGTTAATGAATGTTTGTAATTTGAAGAGCATGTATTTTTCCATATCAGCTATAGACTGGCCATAGGTTTAATATGGTTTCTATAAAAAGCCTAAAATGCTTACTATGTTTGTTTTTTTTTAGAATTGTCACTTGGCCGCCTCGTGGATGGTATCAATGGAGAACCTAGTCAAGAATCTGACAGAAACACCTAGTGAAATACATGATGAATACAGACTATTTTTAAGTTCTATGCCAGCTAAACACTTCCCTGTTAGTGTTCTACAGAACAGTGTTAAAGTCACTAATGAACCACCTAAAGGTCTACGTGCCAATATGAGAAGAGCTTTTGGTGAAATTACACCTAGTTTCTTTGAAGAAAATGGTAAGTGTGGAATGGTGGTTTTTATCTCAGAGCTGTTAAAATACTTTTTAAAAAAATATAGGGAACATCTTTTATTTTGCTGGCTTCCCTGACAAACATATTTGATAACAAAGGTTTTATAAGAAACTGTTCTCTAACATGTCCTTGGCAAAAGCTCTCCTAAATGTTTGTAGTAATTTACACTCAGGTATGACTTATACATCATATGTCACCCAAGATTAGCACACATGATCCTAATTTATTCACTTATAACTTATAACCAAGTTTAAGACACTCTTATGATACAAATGTACAATTGCAGCCACAAATTTTCTTCTATTATCCACTACGATGTACCATCATGACCTGAAACAATGAGACTTTAATTTGTCCTATACTAAATATATGATGTTATCATTTTCAGTGCTAGGTACAGATTGGAGAAGAATGGTATTTGGTCTCTGTTTCTTTCATGCTATTATATTAGAAAGAAAGAAATTCGGTCCCCTTGGTTGGAACATTAAAGTGAGTTTACATATCTGTCAATCGGTAATTTTCTGTCAGACATAAAATTCAGAAATATATCAGTAACATTGAAGATATTACAATCTAAAAAAAAAACATAATCTTATTATTTGAATTAATCTTGTTTATTTCAGTATGAATTCAGCGATAGTGACCGAGAGTGTGCCTTACTGAATCTACAGATGTTTTGTAGTGACGGTGTAATACCTTGGGACACTCTAGTCTACATTACCTCTGAGGTATGACTTTATCAACTTCAATATCAAAAAATAATATATGAAACCAGTAGTTATGAATTAAGGAATTTGTCTCTTACCACTATTTCAACGTAGCATTAAATAATAATGGCGCTTTTTTCTGCAGGAATCTGGATGAACAGAAATAACATATTCTGTGTTATGAAGTAGAATCGGCCCGAAACCATTCATCCAATAAATAAAGTTTCATTTACCATTTTTAGAGTAATTTTATCTGTAAACTATAGTATTGTTTGTTATAATTTTACAGATTACCTATGGAGGTCGTGTAACTGATTTCTTAGATCAGAGATGTTTACGTACTGTATTAAAAATATTCTTTACTGAAAAATCATTACAAGAAGATTATAAATATTCACCCTCAGGTTAGTTTCTTTTAACCAGATTAATCTTTCATTTTCTTTGTGATCTTTCCAACTAACAGTGCACATTTACAAAATTAACTACTGGCATGAAATACTAACAATGTCCCCTTTTCTTTATTATGAAAGAAAAATTAGAAAATAACAACTGATGTGCTTAGGCGACACATATGGCTCTACCACTACCAGTTTTGTATAGATAACTAAAGTTAAGACTATTTAGGCTTTTGGTAATGGTGAAAATACTTAAAAACTAGCAACCTTAAAATGGATCAGAGCAACTCCAATGGAAATCGTCATTATATGTCTGGCCCTAAACCCAGTTCTGATATCCCTTTCGAAAATCACATCGTTGGAAGTAAGGCCAGATGTCAGGTTATTATAAAATAGAGATTTTATTGCAACTGTCTTTTTCTAATTACAGGAATTTACTATGCTCCACGTTATGACACATTAGGAGAATTCAAACAATACATAGAGGATCTTCCCTTAATAGATCCCCCAGAGATATTTGGTATGCATGAAAACGCCAACATTGCCTTCCAAACAGAAGAAACTTATAAACTTATCCACACTATATTGGAAGTACAACCGCGCCTATCTACCGGAGGTACTGGCAAGTCTAATGATGATATTGTATATGAATTAGCTGAGAGTATTCTAGGTAAACTAATGGATAAGTTAGATGTTGAGGAAGCTGGTAAAGAAATGTTTGAGGTAAATTTTTATATTCCCTCATATTATAGTTGAAACTTGATGATAAAAATGACTTTGTGTTCTTGATAATTTTATAACTGTATGTATTTAAATCCTTGCATCACATTGTATTTACTTTACCTGTTTTAATTTTTTTTTTTTTTTAAACTTTATATGATGCCAGAAAGTGCTCTTTTCTAAGGGGTGTACTGAATTCATGATGTATTAAACCCAAGCAATCAATATTTGAACTGTTTTCTTCCTTTATTACAGAAAGATGAAAAGGGAAGAGTAAATTCATTAACAACAGTGCTAACACAAGAAGTTGATAGATTCAATAAATTATTAAAAGTTATAAAGGTATATTATTCTTACAATTTTATTTGTCTTTTTGGGTGTTTCTGTGTAATATACCTCAATATTTCAACCCATTAGATCAGGGGTTTTCAACCTAACCCTTTCAGGATCCTTAATCCCCTTCCCCCTATAAATCCTTACTGTTTCTTGATTTTCTCTGTTCAAATTTTTTGGTATAATGCCACCATCTGATAGAATGCAGTTAAGTTTATGCCCTTTTATATAAGAATATTTTTATATAATATCTTTTAAAGTAACATCAATTTTTTTGCAGGAATCTCTCATAGAACTACAGAAAGCAATCAAAGGTTTTGTCGTGATGAGTGAAGAATTAGAAAGAATTTACAATGCCTTCCTAAACAATCAAGTTCCTGATCTTTGGGGTAACGCTGCCTACCCATCATTGAAACCCTTGGGTAGTTGGGTACAAGACTTGGTGTACAGATGTGCTTTTATCAATAACTGGATTCAACATGGTCAGCCTAAATCATATTGGCTTTCCGGATTCTTCTTCCCTCAAGGTAAGCAATGGAAAAATATCTGAAGGTTACTACTTTTGATAGACACAAGTCAACTAGTGATTCTCATCCAGAGTGAACATACTCTTGTTTCTATGACTTACTGCAATTGTTACATTACATTAAGTATGTGAGACTTGTTACATTACATTTAGTTTGTGAGACTTGTTACATTACATTTAGTTTGTGAGACTTAAAATTTTAATTGCTGGAGAGATTTAATCAACTTTATTGAAAAAATGATAAAAGCTATTAATATTGGTGAAATCTCTTGGCAATGATCTACTTAATTTCCTTATTCAGTTACAACAGGCTTAGAATCAAACAAAGACAGTCAATGTTGTTAATGCTTTACTTTCAACTGATGTTTTTTTCTTGTAATTTCAGGTTTCTTGACTGGAACTCTACAGAATTATGCCAGAAAATATAACTATCCAATTGATCATCTTAGTTTTGATTATCATATTCTACCACACTACAGAAATCAGAAAGAAGTAACTAAACAGATGGAAGAGCTGAAATTTGGAGAAGAGATAGAACTAGATAAAGAGGTATGTTCTATTGCAAGAATTGGAATGACAGGTTTAATGATGGTGAAACAAAGAAGTTTTAATATCTGTTTATTCTACTCAAAAATAAAGTAGAATGCTTATGTTTATGTTTTAAAACTGACCATAATGAGCACAAAATATCTTTGCTCGATCATAGTTTATATTTGGTGAAGTTGTATTAAGCTTTTCAAAAATATTGATTTTGTAACATTGTAGCTAAACCTTTTTTAATATGTTCTGGTGTGATATTTTTTTTACAGATTGAATCCCCTACAGATGGAGTATTAGTACATGGATTGTTTACTGATGGATTTGGATTTGACATTGAAAGCATGCAGTGTCAAGATTCACTTCCTGGGGTCATGAACTCTGTTCTTCCCATGATGCATATGGAACCTAAAATGGATTTCACACCTGATCCCACAGCTTATTATTCACCATTATATAAAACTTCAGCTAGAGCTGGTGTCCTTTCTACCACAGGTAAGAAACCATTTTGACCAGAGTTGCTCCATCAGCAAGCAGGTCAAGAGAACATCTCCAATTGATGACTGTCAGACATTGTATAGGATGGATATTGTCAAATATAGCAAGCATAGATTTCTTCTTTCCTCTTCTTTCCTCTTCCTCTTCTTTCCTTTCCTCTTCTTTCCTCTTCCTCTTCTTTGCTGTATGTTTTAATCAAAGGGCCTAAAATGATTACTGTTTGTTAAAAAAATGGATCTAAACAATGAAGTACCAAGAAGAACTATTTTTTACTATATTTGCTTTCTGTTTTTCAGGTCATTCTACAAACTATGTGGTTGCTGTCTACTTACCATCCACAATGCCTCAAGATTACTGGATTGCTAAAGGTGCTGCCTTACTCTGTCAGTTATCAGAATAAATGTCAAAACATTCCAAATATTTTTTCAGCATTAAAATTGATATGCCTTTTATAAAATTTTTAAAAATTTCCAAAGTCTTTGTCAAACTGCTGAATTTTCCTTTACCAAAAATATCTTCCTTTAAATCCATTATACAAATAATTGTATATTTTAATAACTGCTGATAAAAATTGAATATTGGCTGCTGATATTATTTGTATATTGGCTGCTGTTATTAATTGTATATTGGCTGATGATAATGATAATGGAATAGAGTTTTATTGTATACTGTTCATGACTAAATATTGAAGATAAGTTTTACAAGTATATAATAAACTTGTATACCATTATTAAACATACTGTCAAGGGATCATAATAAAGTACTGCTGGTAATAACATGTATAATGACTGCTGATAATTATTGTATATTTTTTGATTACTTATTTTATTTATTGTATATATAAAGAAGTGTTTTGATTGAAACTGTGATAGCTAGTTTTAGGTTGTTCATATATCATATATAATTTATTTTTCCCATAAAACTTTAACAACATTATAAATAAACTTACATTATTCTGGGGCAAAAATATTCTAGACATTCCACAAGCAAATCCTATTACAGCATTAGTTATAGAAACTTTTTTCTTAAAATAGCATTTATATGTTTAGTATTTTCCAACTTTTTGATCCCAAAAACATAGACTGGTGTTCTTTTAATCGGTGAAATTTGTAGAATTAAATTTCAAGTGTGGCACATTTTTGCATGACAGCTTTTGTCTGAACTTTTTTTTCAAATGGAAATAGAGTTATATGAGGCAGACCTACACTTCTTTAAGCATCATTACTATGTTGCATGTTTTTTTTTTTAAATCCTATTTAGTTAAGATGCCAAAATTAGTTTTCATGTTCAGTATAATGTGCCTATAGTTTAAAGTGAACAATATATGTTTTCATTTAAAATCCCTCCATATCTTAACTGTGATAATTTTAAGTAATAATAAAAATTTTAAGAAGATATCAGAATATTGTTTATTTCTATTATAAATATTGATCAAAAATACAGAAGCAATATATGGAAGTATATTGTTGTTACCCGTGTTTGTCTGTTCACATTTCCTTGTCAACATCTTGTGATAAGACCATTTGTAACGAACATAACTGCCCATGAGAATTTTAATAATATGATGAGATGACAGTCTATATTTCTATACTATTACTATTGATTGAACCAAATTGTAAATCTGTACAGAAAACCTGAGACAACCATTGTGGAGCATATTTGCAGAGTCCTGAGCAGATAATGTCTGTTCCAATTCTGGCCTCTATCGAACGATACATAAGCAGAAATATGTCACATTCAAAATTTCCCATCTTTCTTTCTCTGCCATTTTGAATTTTGTCTTGACTACAATTTCTTCGCCACACTAAAAACGCTTTCTTAACCCTGTCCCAGCATGCTTTATTGAACAACCTGTGAACATGCAAAACTCGTGCTACCACAGAAAGCTTATGAGAAAATATTTCCAAGTTAATGGCATTTACCATCTGCATATTTCATTTGAATCGAAAATTAATAACATAAATTAAAATACAAATCAAACTTTGATTTATTAACAATAAATCAAAAATTTACACAATCACATTTTAGTTAAACATGTATCAAAAAAAATCAACAGTTAATATATAGAATAATCAGTACAAAATAGATGTCAGCATTTCTCATGAAAATAACCCGCACTTTGAACCGAAAGTTCTCCTCTGTAAAATTATATTTCCAAATAATTTTATTATTGGTTTTCATTTTTATCAATCTAAAGACAATCACTAGTATTTAGGTATTGATATCTCAATTCTACAAAATGCGATCTCATAAAACCCTAAATAAGATTACAGGTAATGTGTTAAATTCTTTCATTTTTGTTCATGTATGGCGCACAGATTATTAATATCACAAAGATTTACGAAACTGGGAGTGAATGTTGTAGACAAAGGGGTTTGGAATTTATATCCTCAGAGCATGCTGCAAAATACCTTTGAGGGAAGGAAAGGTTGTATGCCATTATTGTAGAGAACAATCTCAATATCCAATTAGATATAATTTCCTTCAAAAATCTCCCTTACAATAAACTATCAGACTTCAAGATCAAAGGAAAATTACCAAAAATTGCACATTTAATCACACTTCAAATCATCAACAAACAATCTCATCTAATTCTGATGTAGATACAACTAAAATAGAGTCATTTATTATTCCTAGATCACAAATAGATTTATCTTCATCTTGGATTTGTTCTTGATACCTCACAGTTAATATGGTGTCGTCTGCTATCGATAATGTGGTTTTAACACTGTTCAAAATGGTGGATAATTTGGTATCTTGGGTAACCATTATGTCTAAATTTGGTTGTCTTTCTGCTGCCTGGCCTATCAAACCACTGAAAAATAAAATATTGTATAACTTGTACATAAAACATATCAGTTTAACCTTTTGAACAATGGATAGAATAAAACTTCATATACTCTGAATTCCAAGTAAAATGACTTAAAACGGATGAATATTATATGACATCATTTGGTAATGTCAATTCACTGGCGGCTCAGGGACATATCACTTACATTCATGTTCTGAAAGGCTTATGATCAAGATGAATTGATCTGCTAAACTGCTGTTTATTTTCTGTGCCTTTTTTACACAAATTTCAGCTAATTTTAACCACTATTGCATTAGAAAGAAAATAACCAACCTGTGAAATTCTACTCTAACGTTGATTTCTCGTTCATGATAACGTGGACGACGCAGACGGCGATAAACTTGAACACCCTCTAAATCTTCTTGCCTAGCTTCGAGTTCGAATATTCTATCTTGTAACTGTTCATTTCTTTCTATGGCTTTTTCTAGTTCACACTTCAAAACTTTGACTTGTTCATTCACTTGTGCTTCAATTCTGTTCAGACGGGTTTCAAGTCTTTTGGTCTCGTTAGCTTGATAGTAGTAATCGCGTAACTGTTGAAATAATTCACTGATTGTTTCCTCTTTACTTTTTACTGGTTCTTCAACCACTAATCTGGGTTTTACACTTAACTGAAAATAAAATGAATTAAGATTGTTTACCTTTACTGGGTACCGATTGAACAAAGGAAGACAGGAAATACCATGCATGGAGTGTGCCATGGCCATGAACCCATGAGGGAAAGTTTTCACAGATGTCTACAGATAATCTTTTTCTCACTTAGGAAGTTTCAAAAACAAAGTAGTGTTCTGATCTCTCATGCCAAGACTTCAGCAGTTATTTTCGGGACATCTATCAATTTACTGCCGAACTTCGGTCTACTAAAGTCAATGGACCCACATCCATTTGTTGGAAGTCTTCTTAGGTCTCTTTGGTTTCTGAGTCTGTTGACTAAGTAATATCTACCAGAGTGTCAGTTAAAGTTATATCAAACCAATAACATTAACTTACACATTCAGATTTGTTAGATTTCTCCATTTTCTGAACTAAATCCCAAATTGATTCCAAACTATGGACTAAATTTTGACCGACTGAACTGGAAACCCCCTTCTGTTACTAAAAATAAATAAGCAGAATTAACCTCATATTACTGAAGTATGATTGGCTATCAACAAAAACTGTGAATGACGTAATGAATTACCCAGTAGGCTTAAAGTTCGGCAAATATACGTTATTCTACCTCCATTTTGTGTACGATATGATGACATAACATGCTGACATTACATGTTCTCAATAAATCATTGGGTCTATATAAATCAAATTGGGAACGAACACTTTTCAAAAGATTAAATGCAATTAAATTACATATTTATGCAAATGCCCTTATGACCCATCGTGTGAGATGTTAAAGCCACTGAACTAAGGAGATAAGAAAAAGATTACACAAATTATAAATAGTAATTATGGAGCTATCTATCTGTCTATCTAACTTTGGAGGAGGAGAGTGGGTTCAGGGGGGACCACTTTATTAGCAGTAGAGATATCTAGTAGTTGCAATTGTGATATACTGTATCCATATAATATTGTATAGAAAATTCATTCGCGTCGGTCAGATATATAGTTACACCGCCAAGAGTACCGCATAGTTTGTTTGGACGAGTGAGGTGACACAAATCTCCATAAAAGGAATAGTTGAAAATGTTACATTTTTGATTAGCCCGAGTTTCAAAGTATTCGAACAGTGCAGCTGTGGTGTCATCCTCCCGAAACTGGCAATAAAGAGGGGGAAAAGGGGGCAGACTAATCCGATTTTCGAGGCTGAATTAGGCTAAACCCGGGCGATAGGTAGGTAGATGACAAGTTTACGTTCGCTTCCAGCGGATGCTGATATCACAAACTAGGTAGTAATTGTTGGTAGTCGTTGTAGTTGGTAGTTGGATAGGTTCAAATCAAATTGGATGATTCTGTGTTGTTGGTTTGGTTTTTGTTGATTTTTCGTTAGATCTGGTCGGGTCGAATGACATGGCGTGAAACTCGTTCTGATCATGGTATTTCTTCTTGATTGGCAGTCGAATGGTAGTTGTTGGTTTGACCCGGGCGATGCGATTTTCGTATATTTAAAGTACTTCCGAAGACTATTCACATATATTCAAAACCCAAATCAATCCCAGAAAATGGTAAATCTGTCTCTTAACTTCTCAAACTTGTTCAATATTTTACAAATAGGTCTACATAGTGGATTGGAATTTTTTCAAGCTCTAGGAGGTATGGATACATATATGTATGTGGTACATTAAACGACATCAAAAGAATTAAACGTGATCAAATTAATATGACTAAAAAATTTCGCATAGCGTAACTTTAATTTCCCACGTGTTAACTAAGTGCTAGTAAAATATATTATTTACATCCTTACCGCTATAATATCTTCGATTAACCAGACGATTTTAAATCAATCTTAATCAGTCTTCCCTAATTTGTGTCTGGAAACCCGAGATGCAAGGAGACATAGTCATGATCATAAAGTCATATTTTTGGTTATCACGTCAACATAAAAAAAATACTGGACAATCGGTGAACATACTCATCGATTTCATCATATACAGTTGTATGTTTTCCTCGTTTCCTTTGCTAGGGAATTTTATAAGGTAGTGTATGAATGTATGAAAGTTATTTACATCTGCTTGTAATGTTGAAGTATTATTTGCAGTATTCTTAAAAAACTGGCCCAGATTCAGTGCAGCTTTGGCCAAGTCAAAAAATCAAACCGTGCGCCGTGGCTGCTAGAATTGAAATTAAATTAAAGGAACGTTATCCCCAATTTTTCTAAAGGGAAAAATATGTCATCACTTTTAATAATCATATGAGTAGACCTATTTTTTCATGTTTTACCAAAAAAAAAATGTATAAAGCCTACATAGTTCTCTCTTAAGTGGACAAAGTACATGTAAGCCTATATTGTTTCATTAAAGGGATACTACGTCGTAGGATGAACTTAAAATTTTAATTTTACTTAAATTTGGCAAATAACAGTATATACGTATCAGTGGACTTACCTGGTGTCCTAACTATACACCAAAATCCCTCTATAATCCGATATATCCACAAAATCAAGTAATTAATTATAAAACGCTTAATACATCCATTGAGGGATTTTCCATTCTAGGAAATCTGGTGTAATTTTCAAGGGGATGTAACTCTCAAGTTTTGTTTCCCGCGTCCTTGACCTCTACTCTTGAATTGACCTCGACATTGTCAGACATTTTGAAGATGGAATAGTAATGCCTCGTAGGAGATTAAGCGACTCCGCAGAAGAGAATTTCATATAATTTAGAATGAATACTTCACCACTGACACAATTTGCAACGAATATTAATCATTGGCAAAGTTTGTTTGTATACACCAGGAGATGATTGACTATTTTTTTCTCAAACTGAACGGACTTGTCGCTTGCTCACTTTTTTTAAAAATTTTGAGTATAGTTTTATTGTCGATTTTTCAAACTTACTAAAGTGTGAGGTGCATACTTATTCAACCAATGGTCCCTATTAAACACAAATATTAGCCACAGGACGAGTGTATTCAAAGACGTAGTATCCCTTTAAGGGACAGTTATTTTTTCAGTAGGCTAGGAAAGCTATAGGTGCTCAAAGTAACAAAATTTATAGCCTAGACAAAACAAAGAGATAATTATGTGTGTCCCTTACCTCATCTGACAGATTTAACTGAAACAATTGTGCCCTTAATCTCTAGAATTCCAAAACTATAAAACAAAAAAAGAATTTAACTTATTAAAACCTTCATGGTATTTTTTTGTGAAAACTAATGTACAGATATGCTTATAGAGAGATATATCTCCTCTACTTATTCTGGAGGTTTAAACAAAAACATATAGATATTGAGCCTTTAAATAAATGGCCCAACATCAAAACCAGTTTAAACTGTGTACTTTTTTTTAATTATCCACTTGAAACCAATTCAGGTTGATCAAATAGATAGTGAAGTTATTATTGTGAGCTGCACAGTCTTTTCATAGACCTTTTTTGATTTTCATTTACATTAAGTGATAGTTTAATGATTTATAAATATGATGTTGAATAAAGTAATTAAATTGAATTATTCAATTAAACAGAATAAAATTAAATTTAAGAATGAGACTTAGCCTGTAAAAGGGATTGTACAGAGATTTTCTGAATTTATGTGCAGGCCTATCTGGGTCACTGATAGCATCAATTTTCACCATTCCAATTTTCAGTCAGACTTTCCTGCAATTCCGCTAAAAAATATGTGCCTGCTGACGTCACAAATCGCAAAATATGCTTTACCACATAAGACCCTTTGCGATTATAGTGACTTCATCAAACACTTTTAGTGAATTGCCGGAATCACAAACGTCTGAGTGCAAATTGGAATGGTACAAAATGATTCTGCGAATATCAGTGTCCCTGATACACATAAAAACTTAGATATCTTCTTTACAATCACTTTAAATGTTTTGCAGGCAGAAGAAATTGAGCTCTATGAGATCACTAATCTAATATTTTATCAACTATATAGACCTTTAAGATTACTATTCAACTTTACTAAATACCAGTAATACAGTAAGTCTATTACATAATATATTAATATGTTAAAGGGATTTATTCAACTGAATATTTGTGTTACCCTCTGATAGATCTTGATTTACTATAGTTATGTATACCTGACTTTACAGAATTAAAATCTGGCATTCAGTTCTCATGCATTAAAATGATTCTGAGAAGTCATACTCAAAGCTGAAAATGAGCTCCAATACCAGTATGATGGTATCTTTAAATAGAGTTAACCGTGTGGTTAATGAATTTTTAGGACTCCAGTGAGTATCAAGAGGTGAAATAAACAAAATGACCAAGAAGAGTTTTGATATAGCAGATAATGATGAGGAAACTACTTCTATTGACCGTTCCAAAGGTAGGTGTCTTTTACCTGTGGTTATTATCTTAAGCATGAAATGTGGACTTTGATATTGAAAACTATGAATTTTCTAGTTAAGATATAGGTTGAGTTTATTGGCTATCTTAAGACTTTGTTGTTTTCTCTACTTTTTTGGAGGTGCTAGATTCAGCCCTTTGTTTTGTGCCATACATTACTCTGTATTTCTATTTGTCTGTCCTGAACTCTTTTAGAAACTCTGATACTAAAACAACCAGTTGACAATGAATTTAGTCCAAAACAAATGCCTCTATTCCAGTCTCTGATAGATATTTTGACAGTAATCGACTGGAGTAGTCAGAAAAAATAGAGGGATTATGATGGTATGACTGAACTACAAAAATTTCTATCTTTCCCAATATATCTGGGTTTGGTGGATGAGATTGAATTGAATAGATTTAAAACCCCAGTACCTTCGTAGGTGCGGAATATCCCCACAAAACAGAGCCTAGTTTTTCTGTCTGTACCCCAGCAGACAAGATAGCTATCAGAGGTTTGAATAGAGGAAGACGTTTTGTCTAAAATGAAATGTGATAGAGGCCTTATACAACTCCAAAAGAGTTAATGAGAAATATAGCAGCTGTTCTTAAAAACACATAATTTAATATTTTTGAGATAATAAAATAAGCTAATGCACTATAATATCAATGAGCAGAAAAATTTCTGAAATGTTCTAAATGCTACATTTAACCTTTTGAACTCTTAATTACCTTATACATGGAGATTTCAGTTTAAAGTAAACATCTATGATAGATAAAATGTCAACATAGTCAACTCTCAAAACACACTAAAAGATGTGTAAAGGGTATAAACTATTTGTTGCACCCATGTATGTTGGTCCTTCAATCAATGTTGTTTATTGTCACCCACGGATGAACGCCATCCAAAATCAAAAATATTTGATATGAGCTCTTGCCCTTGTTGTTTGAAAAGCTTAAATTTTAATTTGCAAACTAGAAAGCCAAGTAATTGATGAATGTGGGTGAAACTTTGTGTATTTTTCCATAAATGAATCCTTTAAAATCGAAAAATATCAAAATTACTTGATATGAGTTGCAGTCGATTTGTTCACTTAGTGAAATTGTTCAATATCACCCATGGGTGACCATTATAAAATTATTTGAAAAAAGTTATTGTCATAATTCTTCGAAATAATCCTTTTATTCTGTTGTAATGCTTGTAACACTGGAAGGCACAATTCTATAAAACTTTGACAAAACTTGGTCAAATTATTATTAGCACTTTGAATGAATTATTATCCTTGATCCCAAAAATGTGACTTGTAGCTTGTAAACATTCTAGAAGGCACAAATTTTGACAGTGGGCATAACATATGCTAACCTGTCTTGGCAACTATCTTTAGATAAATTTGCCAGTATACTTATTACCTTTTTGTGACTTATTACTGTGACTAATTTACTAAGAGAGTATTTATGACCTTAAAGGGATAGATTTGACACTTTCGGTTGTTGATTTGGGTCTTGAATATATATGTAGTCTTCAGAATTACTAGAAATGTACACTATTCCTACTAAATTCAAATTTTGACAGTGATCTGTGAACACTATTATGGATTAGCTTACCTGAAAAATTCCTGTTTCTGAAACTTATGTATGATTGGTCAGACAAATGACTAACCTGGCTCTTTAAATCTCTGTAAAACTTTTTGGCTCTAAATTGCTTCACGGTTAAGATGCTCTTCATAGGTGGGCCATTTTGGGAGGTTGATTTCAATCTTGAATATATCTAAATAGTCAGAAGTACTAGAAATGTACGAAGATTGCATAATTCCTTTAAAAATACATTCAAACTAGGAATTTTACTCACTTTTCTTATATATGTCTTTTCTATATATCACAGAATATCTTAAATTGACAAGTCATTTTAATATTCAATTGCGGATAATTCTGGACACACATGGATTTGAAGGCTCAAAATACGACTATAACTAATTGGCTTAGCTAAAAAAAATTCCTGTTTCTGAGACTTGAGTATGATTGGTGAAAAAATAGCCTACTTGTCTCTTTTACAACTGAATTTACATCTTTTTAAAGGAACAGGCTAACCATCCTTTTGACGAAAGAATTATGCGAATTCCTACATTTTTAGTTATTCTGAAAACTATTTATTCATGACCCAAATCAACCCAAAATGACAAACCTATCCATTTAAGGGTAATGGTTAAAAATTCTTTGAATTCCTCACATATTTTAATTATTTTATCACATTATAGTCGATGTTATAGAAAATATATTCAATATTTAAAATTAAAAATTGTGTATGACCACTATTAGTAGTTATAGTATTGCAATAGAATAGTTTCAATTTTTTTTTTTAAAACCTTGATGACTTGATTCATTTTTTGTCTGGTATGATCCAATGAGAATGATAGAAGATAGCTTGCCAGGCAAGGTAACATACGCCCACTGGCAGCTGTCAGAAATGATTAAACAGTCTTTAGTGACTACAGGGTTGCACAATATAGCTAATAGAGTGAAATGTCAAGTCAGACACGATATTTCGGTGAAATATTATCCGATCATCGCGAAAATCGATAGGGATCATCTTCATAATGACATTGACATACAAAATAAAAATCAAAAGAATCTGTAAACAAATGTAGCCTGTAGAGTGAGCACGAGTTGCACAATATAGCTAATAGAGTAAAACGTCAGGTCAGACACGATATTTCGGTGAAAAATTATCCGATCATCACGAAAATCGATAGGGATCATCTTCATAATGACATTGACATACAAAATAAAAATCAAAAGAATCTGTAAACAATTGTAGCCTGTAGAGTGAGCACGAGTTGCACAATATAGCTAATAGAGTAAAACGTCAGGTCAGACACGATATTTCGGTGAAAAATTATCCGATCATCACGAAAATCAATAGGGATCATCTTCATAATGACATTGACACACAAAATAAAAATCAAAAGAATCTGTAAAAAATTGTAGCCTGTAGAGTGAGCACGAGTTGCACAATATAGCTAATAGAGAAAAACGTCAAGTCAGACACGATATTTCGGTGAAATATTATCCGATCATCGGGAAAATCGATAGGGATCATCTTCATAATGACATTGACATACAAAATAAAAATCAAAAGAATCTGTAAACAATTGTAGCCTGTAGAGTTAGCACGAGTTGCACAATATAGCTAATAGAGTAAAACGTCAGGTCAGACACGATATTTCGGTGAAAAAT